ATTTCCCATGCTGAAATCACTAGTTTAAAGATAGCTCGGACGTATTTATACGGTCTGAGATCAACCCTCATATCCATCTGTTATGAATCCATTACTGCCTTCCTAGCTGTCAGTTACGTTGCATGTCTGGACGTTCTTTCAATTTTCCTTTGCATTTCTTTGCACATTCATTTGACTAAAGATAGTTTAAGCCCCTTGCTTATATAACCTTGCATCAGGTTCCCCTTAGCTCACTTGTTTTTGTGCTGCTGAAGCTATATTTGATTATAACTGGGTGACTATATTGCTCAAATGGCATTTCTTAGGCTAATCAAGAACTATTTTGGTTACTGTGTCTTCCAGTAAGTTTTCTTCATTACCACACTTTATGTGGTAAAATGTGATTTTTGGAATTGTCGTTTATCTTTTTCTGGTATCTATGTAAGAATTCTTTTTTTAGGTAAACATAAAGTTTTAATTTCAGACTGGGACACCCAATTGATTTCCTGTCAAAACAAATAAAATCAGATTGTAAATCAATCTGTGATTGTAGCAGCAACAAAGCAGGATGTCCTACAAAGGGCACTCTGTTCACTCTTCCATGTTCTCTAAACACACATAGGAGTTTTACTCTCACTTTATTCATGTGAAGAACTGTGGACTTTACCTATTCCCATATCTGCCCATGTAATCCAAGTTTGCTACTAATTTCTTTCTTTGATCTGTTAGTCACTTCATTTGACTTACACTCTATAGTCATTAACTCTGATATTTTCTTCCTTGAGAGGAATCTATCTCCTGTTTTTCACATACTGCTGAGTTATGGGTGCTTTCTCCTGAAACCTCCACCTTTAGATTTCTAACTTGTAGGACATAATATTTTACACATGCAAGACCGCTTTCTAGCAGTGTGCCAAACATTCGCAAGCTCTTTCTTATCACTAACTTTCAGAGTCTCGACGGTAATCAACCTACTCAATGACTGGATTTGCTGGATGGTTTTCCCCTGAATCTAACTGCTATAATACTTGTATTATTATATCAAATAAAAATTCCAGAGTGCCTTTAGCTGCAAATCTTAAAAGTCTTAATAGATACAGTGGTGACGTAGGGGTCAGCCTCTTCTCCCAGGTAACTAGTGATAGGACAAGAAGAAGTGGCATCAAACTGTGCCACGGAGATACAGTTTGCTTGTTAGGAAAAATGTATTCTCTGAAAGAGTAGTTGGGTGCTGGCATAGGCTGCCCAGGGAGATGATGATGTTACTGACCCTGGAGGTGTTCAAGAGCTGTGTGGGTGCGGCACTGAGGGACTCAGTGGGTATGGTGTGATGGATTATTAGTTGGACTAGATGATCTTAATGGTCTTTTACAACCTTAATGTTTCTATGATCAAATGATTCTGTAACAGATCAGCTTCTAGTGCAGACAGGACCAAAGCCTGTGACAAAGGTAGCCGTGAAAGACAGTCTTCTTCTCCTATGTAAGTATGTACACATTTCTACATAAGCATTCTTAATGCATATAGTGCGTGATTTACTTTCTTAATGGCAGACCTTGGTATCTTTTAAAATTTCCCTCTGTAGGCAAAAGTTCTTTTCACATGAGGAAAGTAACCAGAAGTGAAAAAAGGAGAGCACTATTTGCATTTTCTTTAAATGCAAGGTGGTGTCAATTAGCGGTGGCTTCAAGTATAACTCTGCTAACATTGGTAGAGATACTGAACTTCCAGCTGAAGTTAATGAACTTATGCAGGTTTATTCAGTCAACTTGAGAACAATGTCAGCCTACAGTGTCAAAAGTGAAAAGATAACCTTATTAGAGATACTTTTTCTTTCTTCTCCTATGCTGTGGTTCAATTTAATTTAATCTACAGATAATAATGAATGCAAGCATTCAAAAATAAGTATCGAGATTGTCCTGATTCAGCATGCCGTTCCTCTGTATGTGATCTAGCAAAAAATAAAGTGGAAATACCACTGACTTTTCTGCCTCACACATCACTATGAATTGAATGTTTTTCTTTACTGCTCAGCTCAAGCTGCAATAGGAAGTACACTGAGGTTAGTAAATAGTTCAGCCCAAATTTATGGTTCACTAACTGGAAACTGCAGATTTTCTGAGGTTTCTCCAAGTTCAAGCATGCTTGAAGTATTATCTTGCTACATGGCACAAAGTGTTCTGCTTGCCCTCAGTAACCAAAGGGTTCTTCTGTCCTCCTGATCATTGCTGTTGTACCACTGCTGTGCAATGTGTTGTGCATTTGTGTGCTGCCACTTCCACCCTCTGGATGCTCTAGAAACAGGGCAGGGAGCTACAGCACTTACCAGCTAGCACTCAGTACTCTGCTTTGTATATTTGATACGCCTTTCAAAGGACAATGTGTTGTCAGGAAGTAATCTTGGATTCACTCTTAATTTCATGTAGTTAAGATAAAAAGAAATCGAACTTTTTATTCACAAGATTAAAAGTAAGCAACACAATAACAAAGATTTACATTCAATGTAGATGAGGAAGTAAAACATTTAAACTATATATAGTTTAAATTCACTTTATTTACATCTGATTTAATACATTATGCTGGACGTCAAGACTTCTGTGCTGCTGTATATCTTATGGTCATGTTACAGAATCACAGAATTGCAGGGGTTGGAAGGGATCTCAAGAGATCACCAAGTTCAACCCCCTGCTAAAGCAGGCTCCCTACAGTAGGTCACACAGGAAGGTGTCCAGACAGGTCTTGAATCTCCATAGAAGGAGACTCCACAACATCTCTGGACAGCCTGTTCCAGTGCTCTGTCACCCTTACTGTAAAAAACTTCTTCCACGTTTGTATGGAACTTCCTATTTGAAGTTTTAGGCTGTTACTCCTTGTTCTATCACTATGAACCAACGAGAAGAGCCTGGCCTCATCCATATGCTTCCCACCTCCTTTAGATATTTATAAACCTTGATCAGATCCACTCTTAGTCTTCTTTTCCCCACGCTGAACAATGCCAGGTTACTCAGCCTTTCCTCACACAGGAGATGCTCCAGGCCTTTCATCATCTTTGTGGCCCTCTGCTGGACACCTTCAAGGAGATCCCTGTTGTTTTTGAACTGTGTAGCCCAGAACTCGACAGAATAGTCTAAATGTGGCCTCAGCAGGGCAGAGTAGAGAGGGAGGATCACCTCCCTCGGCCTGCTGACCACACTTTTTTAATGTGCTTCAATGATACCATTGGCCTTCTTGGCCACCAGGGCGCTCTGCTGGCGCATGGCCAACTTGCTGTCCACCAGGACGCCTTCTCTGCAGAGCTCCTCTCCAGCAGATCATCCCCTAACCTGTACTGATGCATGCAGTTGTTTCTTCCCAGGTGCAAGACTCTACACTTGCTCTTGTTGAACTTCACCAGGTTTCTCCTTGCCCAGCTTCCCAGTGTGTCCAGATCTCACTGAATGGCAGCACAGCCTTCTATTGTGTCAGCTACTCCTCCCAGCTTTGTACTATCAGCAAACATGATGAAAGTGGACTCTGTCCCTCCATCATTGTTGATGAATGTTACATCACTGGAAAACCCCTTTTCTGATGTGGCCTGCTACCTTTTATAACTAATGTATTTTATAGAGTATGAAGTCTTCCTGAGGAGATTTAATCTAATTCCACAAAATTTATTTTACTTACTGTTAATCCAGGAGATGATCTTGCCAGTAAAAAAAATAAAAAATAAGCATTGTTTTATTTCCCAGAATATCCAAATGCCTCTTTTTCAGACTGGACTGCATCTGCTGTATTTATGAATCTGACAGTTTTGTCCTGCTCCCGCTATGCTAATATTAATGACTGATGAAATGAAAAAAAACCAGCATATTTGCTTTTAGTTATTACCACCATTGTGATCTAATTCCCACCTTGTTCAACTTCTTCATCAGTGACCTGGATGAAGTGCTTGATACTACCCTCAGCAAATACAGAAAGCTGGGAAGAGCGGCTGACACACCAGAAGGCTGTGCTACCATTCAGCAAGACCTGGACAGGATGGAAAGACAGGCAGGGAGGAATCTGATGAGGTTCAGCAAGGCCAAGTGTAGAGTCCTACATCTGGGGAGGAACAACTGCATGCACCACCACAGGTTAGGGGGTGACCTGCTGGGGAGGAGCTCTGCAGAGGACCTGGGGGTCCTGGCAGACAGCAGGTTGGCCATGAGCCAGCAGTGCGCCCTGGTGGCCAAGACCAGTGGGATCCTGGGCATTAAGAAGAGCCTGGCCAGCAGGTTGAGGGAAGCGATCCTCCTCCTCCTCTGTTCTGCCCTGCTGAGGACACATCTGGAGCCCTGTGTCCAATTCTGGGCTCCCTGGTTAAAAAAGGGCAGGGATCTCCTGGAAGGAGCCCAGTGGGTGGTGACAAAGATGGTGGAGGCCTGGAGCATCTCCTTAAGAGGAAAGGCTGAGAGAGCTGGGACTGTTCGGCCTGGAGAAGTGAAGGCTGAGGGGGGATTTGATCAGTGCTTATAGGGCGCCTCGTGTGGAACTCAAATGGGTGGGACCACTCATGGCGGTACGCAGCAACAGGACAAGGGGCGACGGGTAAAAACTGGCACGGAGTTTGGAAACAGTCCCACAAGGATATGAGGAAGAACTTCTTTAGAGTGAGGGTGCCAGAGCACCGGAGCCGCCTGCGCAGAGCGGCCGTGCAGCCTCCTTCCCCGCGTACGCCGAAGACCCGCCTGGACGCGTTCCCGAGACCCGCTGCAGGGAGCGCGCCGCGGCTACACAGCGCCCCCTGCCGGCGGCAGGCACTCACAGCCGGACGGCTCTTCACGGTGCGACGGCAAACGGTCGCTTTAAACCTGCCTTTACAAAGAGACGAAGGGGGGAACCCTTTCCAGCCACAGCCTACCTCCGGCTCAAACCGAGCACTTCCGCGCAACCGCCCGCCTCGCCTCAGCCTTCCGAAAAGGACGGAGATCCGCAGCAGCCCGCGCGAGGCCCCGCCTCCGGACGGCGGGCGGGCGTGGCCGAGCACGCGCAGCGCTGGGAGCGTGGCGGCCGGGCGGCGCCGCGATGTTCGTGGCGCGCAGCATCGCGGCGGATCACCGCGACCTCATCCACGATGTCTCCTTCGATTTCCACGGGCGGCGCATGGCCACCTGCTCCAGCGACCAGAGCGTCAAGGTGGGCGCGGCGCCAGGCGGGCCGGGCGGCCGCACGCGGCCTGCGGACGGCGCGGCCATGGCGGGCGGGGCCTGAAACCGCGGCACACGAGTAGCCTGCGCGAGTCCCGGCTGCGGCACCGCCGTGCTGCGGGGCTGCGCTCCCCTTATGCGGCCTCATGGGCTGCAGCTCCGGCCCGGGCCGCTCCCGCGTGGATACCCACGGGCTGTGCCTCCTTCAGGCCTCGTCCGCCGCTGCCCCGCGGGCTCCTCCGTGGCTGCACGGGCAGATCTGCTCCACACGGTGCCCACGGGCTGCAATGGGACAGCCTGCTCCTTTGTGGGCTTCTCCTGGGCTGCAGGGAGCTGCTGCTGCTTGCCTGGAGCTTTTCCTGCCCTCCTTCTGCACTGACCTTGGTGCCTGCAGGGCTGTTCTCTCGCATCTCTCACCCCCCTCACCCCACTGCTGCTCCATGGTGTTATTTCCCTTTCTAAAATCTGCTCTCCAAGAGCACGCCCAGCATCACTCACGGCTCAGCTCTGGCAGCGGTGGGTCCCTGTTGGAGCAGCTGGAGCTCTGAGCTGACATGGGGCATAGCTGGGCTCTGCTCACAGAATCTGCCCTGCAGCACCCCAGTACCAGAACCCTGTCATGGGAACCCAGTACACAAGCAGACAGCTTCTCTCTGATCACAAACAAAAGAAACAAACAAAACCAACAGCAACAGGAAAAAAGAAAAATCAACCCAGCCCCAAGGAGTAAGCCAACAGCCTTTGATCAGACCGAGAATATAAAACTTGAAGCCTGAAAAGAAAGACAGCAAGATTTAGGTAGAACTTAGAAAGCACACCTTTAACAATATAATGTAGCTTTCCAGTTACAACAATTCTTTATGAGATTCTTAAGAAGCTTTACAGCCATGTTGTATTTGATGTACATCCCACTCTCAGCAAATGGGCCCTGCAGAACAGCAGTTGCAGCGTTTCATGCTGACAAGATTCCCTCACATCAGGCTGATAAATTGAGAATGGGAGGCTACGTTACTTGTGTGCGGTTCATAGATCAAGTTAGAAATATTAGAAGCAGCAATAAGATCTTTTACCCCACTTTGTAACGCTAGATTTGTTTTGTCTGCTGTATTGCTCTGCCTTGCAGTCACACTCCACAATCTCTGTAGGTCCTCTCCAACAGAACTCTTCTGTTCTGTCCGAGATGATAGCCAGGAGCCACATCAGGGTTTGGGGACCACATCTGAGCTTGTACCACGGTGAAGACTGCGGTCTGCTGCAGTAAAACGAAGTGATTTGCTCCTGGGATAAAATGTATTGAACATGGCCATAATCTGTTTCCTTGCAAGTAATATGTTGCTTACAAATGACAGACTTCGCATGATGGTGGATTTTGCAGGCATGTGCCTGTCCTCCACATCTGTAAGAAGGATATTTTCGAAGTTAATCATAGTGTAGTACTGCACCAGGGAGATTTCTCCAGATGAAAACACTCAGTGGTGACTTTTTTTAGTGGCTGTGTTTTTTGTTACTACCTGTTGCACTTGCATACAAATTATATGATTGTCTTCTGATTTTTCAATAGGTCTGGGACAAAAGTGAAAATGGGGATTGGCATTGCACTGCAAGCTGGAAGGTTTGTATTAATAGTCATTACACAGTGATATTGTTATTTCTCTCTCTTTTATTTTTTGGTAGAGATATATTTTCACACAGCGGTAGTGTGTGCTTGAGGAGTTGGAAAACAGTACTTTTGCTTTTAATGGAATATTTTCTTGTTTGTATTTTCTTGGCTGTGGGGAGAAAAAGGAATAGGAATGGCTTTTCAACATTGTAACTGACCTCTGTGTTTTTCGCCCATAACCTTTCTGAGAACTATATATGGAGTCTGTAGTTCATCAGAGTAATTAACTAGTGCATTCAGCTTCTGACTTATCCTGGAGCTTGTGTATAACAGGACCACGGTACAGTAATCCCTATGAAAGGGAGAGCAAGTGAAGCTTTTATATTCCCTTTCTCTAGCAAAAGCAGTGTTCAGTGACCAGGTATGAAAAAGAAGTTTGTTCTGAAGAAGAACAAGCTAAGTAATGCTCTACACATGCTCTAGAAAAGTACAGGCGAGCTAGAAATGGGCATAGTGATGGTTGAAAATGTAAAACAGGGCTGCATCTCCTGTCAAGACAGAATCTTAGTTGGCAACTATTTTTTTGGAACTTAGGATTTTAAAGCAGTAATGAATAATACCTAGAAATGCTAGGCGTGATACTTTAGAGCTCTTACTTCTACTTTACAGCAGGAAGTCACAAAAGTGTATGGAAAACCCTTCATGCTCCCTTGGAGTCATGTGTTTCTCTGAACTGTTGCACTTTGTGTTATCTTGCAGACACACAGCGGCTCTGTGTGGCGTGTGACGTGGGCCCATCCTGAGTTCGGGCAGGTCCTGGCCTCCTGCTCTTTTGATAGAACAGCAGCTGTGTGGGAAGAAATAGTGGGAGAATCCAATGATAAACTCCGAGGCCAGAGTCACTGGGTAAGATTTTAACATATAAATTTAGCTTTTACATGTGCCCAGAAAAACAGATTTGCTGTGCCTCACTGATTTGTTTGCTTACTGTATTGGGCTGAAGCTTTAAACTGAACTCCAGAATTACACAGAAGACTGAACATTAAGTCCTTGTAAATTCCATGTACTGGACATCTGAGTTTGCAACATATTTGCTATTCCCGAAACAGAATTTTCTTCTCTAATATGAAGTGTCCTTGAAATTGTTATGTTTTGTTAATTTGTGGCAATGTTCCAATATAGGAGTACTTTCAAGACATTGGGACAGACAGCTAAATGGCAACATTCAGGCCAGTTAAGCGTCACTTATTATTGGTTTAATTAGGTGTTCCTCTGCAAACCTGAATCCCATACGCGGTAGAACTGAAGTTGTAGGTATTTTGTTCTTTATTCATCTGAAACCATCCTGTGCCATTCTTTTTCCTCTTTGAGACAGTAGCTCAGGTTTGGAGAACAAAACATTTTGCTCAGAAGTAGATTTTCTGGATAGCATTTCACAGAGGGAATTTCTATATGTAAACAGATTTTTTTTTGCAGACACTCAATCTTATAGATCTCAGTGTACTGTTCCTCTGGTACTATATTCTGCCTTCAGTTATCTGCAATTTTCTACTTTCCACTAAAGCTTTCTAAGTGTGTGACTGGGCAGAGTCAGGTTGTTGGAACCTGTGGCATCTAGCGGGGTATGGAAGCTGACTTCATGTGCAGGAGGCTGTACTGATCTGTAGTTTTCAGGTCAAACTCATGCTTTCTTGACAAGAAAAGAGAAAGCTTGGAACCAAAAGTATTTACTTCTTTTGTCCTTTTTCACTCTAGATAACTTTCCTATCAAACGTCTGCTGTATTCTCCCATTCCCTTCTCAGAAGTACTTGTTCAGACACTTCTGTTGGGAAATCCTCATGGTCAGTTTCAATAGCACTGAGAATAGAAAGCAGCGTTGTTAGGGATCGCAGTTGATACTGTCAGCACTGTGTATGAAGAGGACACATTCAAACTGCCTGTGGCCATTGCATTTTTTTTTTTTTTCCTTTCTTTCTGAAGTTTAATCAAAACAACTTCTGTTGTTCTCAAAACTTTGATATCACAGTGCGTGTCCCTGCTCCAAATGTGTGCAGTGCAGTGTCCATTTTTCTATTAAGTCTATATATAAGTTATTCTCGTTCTGGATGGAAGAAATAAATGATGCTATGAAGTGGTGTTGTCAGACTTCCACTTGCCTTCTGGGCAAGGGGAAAAAAGTCAACAAATTACAAAATGCATTTTTGGTGGAGACATCCAAGAATTTCTGCCTTTCTTTTGCAGGTAAAGAGGACCACTCTGGTAGACAGTAGGACATCTGTTACAGATGTGAAGTTTGCTCCCAAGCATATGGGTCTTATGTTAGCAACTTGCTCAGCAGATGGCGTTGTAAGGATTTATGAAGCCCCAGATGTGATGAATCTCAGTCAGTGGTCACTGCAGCATGAAATCTCATGTAAGCTAAGCTGCAGTTGCATTTCGTGGAATCCTTCTAGGTACGTTAATAAAACCATAGGTGTTGCCTTATAACTGTGTAAGCAGAAGATCTGAAGAGTTAGTTCTGGAAGTGTTACAGAATGTCTTTTGTCCCATGAGGTTGTATTCCTAAACTTAATTACGAGCAGTAATTAACAAGCTCAAGAACTGCAATGTGCTTTTTTTGTCCCACAAAACTTACCTGAGTTTCCTAAGGAAAAGTGTTTATAAAGAGACCGTTCCCATGTTTTTGCTTCAGGAAGTTGTCACAATAGGTAATAATTTGGACAACTGTAACAAGGACACACACCCTTGGCAATTCTAGGAACCACATGCTTTGCTAACACAAAGTCTAAGGGTTGTATTGTTCCTTTAGTTGTATCTTCAGGGGCTCAGTGATGTATTTAACCTACTTGGACAGAAAGAGATCAGAGGAATGCGATGGTTGGTTTATCCCCACCCTGGGGGCTCAGTGATGTATTTAACCTACTTGGACAGAAAGAGATCAGAGGAATGCGATGGTTGGTTTATCCCCACCCTGAAGAATATATAAGTACTCTATCCCCACCATGAAGAATATATAAGTAATCTGTCCCAGAGGTTCAGAGTACAAGCTTTATCTCTACTTCACCCTAGGAAGTTGTGTTAAAAGTCGATTTAAAAACTAGTACTCATATATATGCTTACGTTTTGTAATTGGCTTTCCAAAACCTGAATGAAACCCTCCTAAATCAGTCACTGAGAATCATTGAATGCAGATTGTGCTATATTCCTTAAAACAAATATTTCACTGCAAATGCTTAAATGAATTTAATCCTGATGTCTGGGAGCATGTGTCATCCTGAACTAAATTGCCAAATTGTGTTCCTTAGTGTTTTATCTTTATTTGTTGTATGAAGTAGACATTCAAGACAACAGAATTGAGGTAGTACTGATAACTATGAATAACACTTTGTATTTCTTTCTAGGCAACCTTTTTGTTTTATTTATCTACAGATGTGTCTTAAATTTTGGAGATTGCTTGTGAAATAATTATTAACAGAATTCACATCTTTTTACTTCCAGCTCCAGAGCACATTCTCCAATGATAGCTGTAGGAAGTGATGACAACAGTCCAAATATATTGGCTAAAGTTCAAATTTATGAATACAATGAAAATACCAGGTATGCTAAATAACAATATATGTGGGCTGTTAGAATAGCTTGTGAATGTCTGGCCTTCTCTGTTTCATACCTGTTGTTGCTCATGAAGTCATGAAGAGGAGTGGGAAATAATACTCCTCACTTTTGTCTGCAAGACTTTGGGCAGGAGAGACACCTCAAAATGCAAACAAATGTCAAAGAAAACGGCAGATTTTTATAATTTTGTTCTATCTCAGTACAGAAATTCCAGTATTCCTACTGGCATTTTAAAGGGAGAGTTGCTTTTATGCTTCTGAAAGTTTCTGTGCTTAGTTTTGAACAAGGAATCAGTAGGACTAAAGTTAGAAGTTTAAATTATGGTTGAACTAGAAACTGTTTTGTTCAAGGTAACAATAAAAATGGTTCTAAGATCATATTTATAGTGACAGAAAGTCCTGTGAGTTACTACCAGTCAGTAGCAGTTGGGAGTTAAGTTAGGAGTTCAGAACCAGAAAATGCATGCAGAACCACTTTCAATTAGTGGATGACAGATTGTGTTTCATTCAGCTTGACTGCTGTGTGATTGGTTCCAAGGTGTTTTGTGAGCTTATTCCTGACTTCACACTACATTCTTTATGCATTAACAACACAGAAAATTTGTTGCAACTCACCCTGTGGTAAATAAGAAAATGAAATATATTGCTGTACAGCAAAGGAGGCAGGTAGTAGCCTGCTTATAAGCACAAGCTATTTACTAAGTTTCTGGAGTAGAAATTCCTCTTCAGATTTGTGAATGAAGGAATTTTTTACGTTTTCTTCCATCTACTGACAGAAATGTTCTTTGTACAGGAATCTGTGCTTTGTTCTGTGATTTAGTATTACAATCAGAAAGATTAATGCGTGGAAGTGGGATACAGGAGCGCAACAGCAAAAGAACCAGCGTGGATAGGATGGTATTTCAAAGGAAAAGTAAAGGCGCTCACCTGCCTCTGAAGATCTAGGCTTGTAGGAAAGACTCCACAAGGGAGAAACATCCAATCAGAGATTCTTCCCTTGTGGCAGTCAGTTCTTAAATGAGGTCTAAGAGAGATGCAGCCAGGCTCCACCCCTTCCAGTCACACAGCTGAATTGCCTTCACCTGTGCTCCCAGAACTAACCCAGTCCTTTCCCCAGGTGATCATTTAGTGGTTCAGGCCATGACTTAACAGTTCCCTTGCGTTTAGTGTTATGATACTAGTAGTTAATGTATCTGTTGTATTCACTTTCTGAAGAAATCAGCTTGTAATTATTAGTTGGAATGTAATTTATGTTAAACAATTACAGCTTTGCATCGTCGTGTATCCTGACTAACCCTCTTTTCCCTGTTCTGTTCGCTTTACGTAATTAGTGACCCTGGCAGTTTTAGTGGCGCTAATGGTTAATTTTTCACACCCTACAGGAAATATGCAAAAGCAGAAGCTCTGATGACAGTCACAGATCCTGTGCACGATATTGCATTTGCTCCAAATCTGGGAAGATCCTTTCACATCTTAGCTGTGGCAACCAAAGATGTACGAATTTTCACACTAAAACCTCTAAGGTGAGCTTAAAAGCAAGACTGCAACACTGTTCAGTATGATATGGCACATACTGTAGAGTCTTTCTTAGTAGTATCTGAGATGCAAAGGATGTAATTAAATTTATTTTAGCAGCCTGTTTTTTTAAGATGATAAGATTGTGAGCAAAACATCAGTTCTGTCTGAATATCTCTTTATACTTCTAATCTGTTATACAGCTAAGTACGTTTCTAGAAGCATATAGACCTCTTTTTGTCGTTGCGTTCAAGCCAGAACTTGGAGCAGTTGTGTGCAAAACTGTTACGTCTCTCTTTAACAGGAAAGAATTGACTTCATCTGGAGGATTAACAAAATTTGAAATTCATATCGTGGCTCAGTTTGACAATCACAATTCCCAGGTGTGGCGAGTCAGCTGGAACATCACGGGCACAGTGCTGGCCTCCTCCGGCGATGACGGCTGTGTTAGGCTTTGGAAGGGTAAGAACTCTGCGGGTCTCCTGCTTGAAGCGCCTCGGCTTTGTGCTACGCTGAATGTATGGGAGGAAGTATTTTTGGAGTGAAAGGTTTTTAGATCGGTGAATGATAGGTTTTTGCACTGACATTTCAGAAAAAAGGAAATAAGGTGCTGGAACATGGGACTGATTGAAGTTTCTGCAAATAGTTGTTACTGTACTATATTTGGTAATCTCAAATCTCTTGTTTTACCAGATCACATCTGTGTAAAATTGTCGCTATTTAGAACTAACTTGTATTGAGTTGTTGTCTTTGCCTGCTGCCAAACCCAGAAAAACTGTATTCTGTTAAAGCAGCACTCAGGCAATCTGGCGTTTTTTTTCCCCTTGAGCTTTTTTGTATTTCTGTTTAAATTTCAAGAAGCAGCAACAGAACTCAGTGGCAGTTTCCTCATCCATTCTCAGTAGTTTCTCAGCTTTTTATTAAAACTTTATTAAGGACAAAGCAAACCCACTCTTACTACAGAACAAAACCGAGGTTTAAATAATGGATAGGCAGAGAACACCAAGCAGCTAAAGGACCACATATTCAACTACTCAGAATACATATGTTGATGCTGAAGTACAATTCTAATTCACACCAGACGCCTAGCAGTTGAAGTATCATGACTGTACCAAAAGCTGAGTTTCAGAGTCCAAACTAACAGTTTCTATCTGTGTACATTTGCAGCTAATTACATGGACAACTGGAAGTGCACTGGTATACTGAAAGGTAATGGGAGTCCAGTCAATGGTAGTTCCCAGCAGGGAATTTTTAACGCCTCTCTAGGTTCAGCCAATACAAGCCTACAGAATTCACTAAATGGATCATCTGCCAGCAGGTAGGCTAACTGGTAAAGAGACTGGATCTCAGCAAATTCTTTCTTCTCTGAATCTTCTTTTCACTTTGTTTTCATGTCTTGTATTCTTTTAAAATGTGGTGTCATTTATTGCACGAATACTCCTGCAAGCTGTTCTGGCCTTGCTCTGTGTTTTGTGTCTGTTATGCTGGTAGTAAGAGGAATTACCTTATAAATAAGCAATGGTAGCAGTGGTTTTTACTTTTAGTCTTCTCACTTTCTTAAAAAATCTTTCCTGAAGTAGTTTTGAACGAGGAGAAAATTGATCATACTGCTTTGTAACTGCCATTTAGATGCATGTATAAAAGTTAAGCAAAAATACCAGCAACAAATTCTGGTTTTGACTGAGACAATGCAGCAGGATGGAAGGAGGAAAAGACACTTTATAGCATAGGACTTCAACAATCATAGGCTGGTGTTTGTTCATTTTACTTGCATTTTTGCAGGTGTAACATCATTTGAGTAAAAATTTTGGGTTTTCTTAATCTTCCTTACTCAAATGGAATTCTTACTGCTTTCTAAATTGTTTTTATTCTTCAATAATTGCTACTAAATAGGTAAATTAAACTGCCTTAACCAAAACCAGTTTTTAATTTGTGTACACTAAACTCTAGAAATTACTGGGTCCTGCACTTGTAAGGTGAAGTGAGTACAGTGCTTTACAGGATGTGTGCTGTATAAGGGCTTGGTGTGACCAAATTCCACAGCAGAAACTTCCAGGTTATTTGGCCAGCTTTATTTGTTTTTGCCCAGATGCCTTCATTTCCATCCATGTACAGCTACCAATACGAATATTTTTCTTTTAATTTAAAATGCTCATCTGTAAAGTACTAGAATAGGTTTTGGAGTGTTGCTATTCCCATTTCTACCACCCCTGGGCGGTTCTGGCAGTTCAGGATGGCAGTTCTGGCTTCCAAATCCATAGCTCCATTGAAGAGAGAAGGGCATTCACATTTCCTCACAAGATAAATGGAAAGCAAGAGGTGATTATGGGACAAGCCTTCAAAAAGAAAGGAAGCCAAAATTATATTGGTCGTCTGGTTCCAATTGCTACCTATTGTGTAGCAAAAAGTGCTGGAATTATTCCCATCTTGGACATGGGATATCAAACGCTATGTAGCTGTAAGTGGTTTGGACTCCTGCAGGAAGGAGATACAGGCCATTTTATACCTCTTCAGTACGGGGGGTGGATCCATAATCTCCTTATCTAAGCCATACTGCCAGAAAGACACCCGTACCCCACCGCAATGGTGGTGGTTCTCTCCTTTATGTTGATAGGAAGCCACCATGAAACTGAAACTTGTACTGTTGTTTTAGACTTCCATTGCTCTGTGTTTTGAAATTTAGACATTGGGACTCACTTTTGGTTACAGAATGAAGTCTATGGCTGTGGAATTTTAAGAATATGTCCTAGGATGGGACATATTCATAGTAAGGTGCACTTAACGCGTTTTCTGTTTTAATCATGTTGGCATGAACTGCAAAAACGTAGTTGCTAACTTTTTTTTTAGCCATTAACATTTTTAAAAAAGATTTATTTACTGACATTTGGCAAATTGGTATGCTACACGATCTACTTCGACTGTAACCACAAACGTGATGTTTTGGTGTTCATATGTTTAAACACATAAGATAGCTAAGGCATAGGTACATCTGGATCTCTGGAAAGCTGTTAAAACACGGTCACCAAAGTGGGTTCTCAGCCAAAATAGTTTTTAAATGGATGATACAGAATTGTTGGAAAGGAGTTGGCAGGGTGATATTGTTATGCTGATATAATTGTATATGTCTGGATTTGTGATACAATTTCCCTTCTCCATCTGTATTATGTCCTTTTTAACAGAAAGCAGAGCTGATACCAAGCTAACTGGAGTAACTTTGATGTTTTGCTGCTTGTTGCATGCACACAGGAATGGAAAATGAACTCCTTTTTCCCCTCCCCAACGCCGTTTGACCTCTCCCAAGACACCAGCAGCCTGCTAACTACTAAACGCTATTCAAAAAACCTTTTTAAACTACGTTGTGTACTTTTTTTGTACTAGGCCGCACAGTTTGATACTGTTGAAACTCCTGATAGAAAAAATACTAGGAGAGGCTTTTTGTTTAAAAAAAAAAAAAATCAAAAGAAAAAAAACTTGCATCAGAGCAGTTTCTTAAAATAACTTGTCGAGTGAGCCAGTTCTTGAGCAAAACTGAAAATCTTGTCCTTGGTTGGGATGGGAGGAGGGAAGTGACCATTAAAGTAGCTTTCATGAAAATTGTTTTGATAACTGCTGTGTTTTACATTTCATAGTGTTTAACACTTGACTGAGATTCCTTAACATCACGAGTTTGTAACTGCTTTGTAATATATGCAACTGTTAGTTTTAAAGGAAAAATTGTGCTTTGACAATTGTACAGATGGTAGCTTTTGATAGTTTGGTATTTCTTCGTTTATAACTTAGTATGACTTAAAATATGTTTTTTGTAAGTACTATCAAGCTTGCTTCATCCTGACTGGGACGCATATGTTTTCTGATGTGTTTGTATGTTCCTATGGCAATGATTCCATGCGTAACTAAAATTCTGAGCGTACTGTCCTAAATAATGCAAACGTTTGAGCCATATGAAAGTTGAAACCAAAATGCAGCATGTTGTGGATTGTCCGTAATTTCACAAGTGTACAGCTGTTCTTTTAGGCAAGTCCACAGAACTGTAAACAATATAGATAACACCTGTAGGTATCTAATGTAGTTATACTAAAACACACAAACATTACGGGTAAGTTCTAATAAAAATGGCAGAAAAATGACATGGAGTGCTGTAATTCTGAGTTCTGGATTCACCAGGAAGCTGAAATTGATCCTGAGTATTTTGCAGAAATACGTAAATAGACACAAAGATTGTACTTCGCTGAAAGCAGTTATCCTCTGTAAATGTATACTATTCAATTTAAACTATTGTAAAAGCTATACAATGTTTTTATGTCTATTCTGGAAGTCCCGTGAAGTTCATCTGAGTTAGGTGCATATGCAGAAAATGTACGTACATGGTTTTTTAATGTATAACTTGTGTCGCAAATGGAGCGTTGCTGAAAGCTGTTAACATCACAGGAATTCTGGGAGAGTGAAAGCATGTTCATAGCTGTGTTATGAAATTCTTTTGATTTCCAAAGCAGTTTGTTCATTCTGCAAGATGGGTACTACAATTATTATTACAGCATTCTTTCTATGATTTTCAGGGGAAAACTTTTTTTCCTTAAAGGAGAGTTTCCAGATTTGTCTTGTTTTGAATTACAAGCCTTGATTTCTGCTATTATGTTCTATTGGTTTTGGCATGGATATACTAAAGCTTTTTTTTTGTTTGTTTTCCAGCATGTCTTTTCTCCCCTTTGGTTCTCCTTGTATTTACTGCCTTTCTCTTTTTTCTTGTTTTTGTTTTGTTTTGTTTTTTTGTTTTTGTTTTGGTGTTTTGTTCCTGTCTTAATTGTTTCAGGTATTTCTTTCCCCCTCTGGATTCCCCACGGGCTGGATCAAGATGGTCCAGTCATGCCCAGCTCCTTCCTCCTCCTCCTCTGATAGAGCACTCTTGCGATGCTGACACTGCCAACCTCCAGTATCCTCACCCTCGCAGACGATGTGTATCTCGGCCTCTTAATCTATTACCTGAGAATGAAGGGGTTTAACATGTTACTTTGAATAAACGTTGAAGGGCCTTATACTGATGGTTGTGAATGCTTCCATTTCTGGCTGCTTGTGTGTTCCTTCTCTCCTACAGAAGACTTTAAAAAATGTGGGGTCTTCATGCATGTTTTGCAAAACAAACTGCAATATTTGGAACAGTCATTTGTGTGCATCAAAGGAACATGTTAATCGGTAGGCTTTCAACTGTGGCAACACATGCAAACGTGAGCCATGAGCTGCTAATGGAGTAGCCAACTTCAAAGTGCCTGCCCTGGTTTGGTTTTTTTTTCTTTTCTTTTGTTTTTGGAATCAGTTTATTGTGACTTTGAATTTTTTCTTTTATATATTGCACTGAGAAATGTGAAATGTATTCTCAAAATTAAACATACCTTCAAGAAGTGGTTGAATAACTAAAGGATGATGTTTGATCAACTCGTAAAAGAAACAAAACCATTCCTGTGTATACTGCAGCAAAATGCAATTTGGAATGTTGGGTTACTTTAAAAAAATTTTCCATCTTGCTGTATAAATATTTAAATTTTATAATTGTGGTTGACTAATAAACTTATTTTAAAAGGTGTGTTAGTATGCCTTTTCTTGTAATGGTGTGAAGCTATTTCATAAGGTGGAGGTGGTGGAGTCGCCATCCCTGGCAGTGTTCAGAGGCACCTGGATGAGGAGCTACGAGAGATGGTTTAGTAGCTTGTACTAATAGGAATTGGAGGGTGGTTGGACTAGATGATCTTGCAGGTCGTTTCCAACCTTGTGATTCTGTGATTCATAACCAGTGTGAGATTTTGGATTCAGATGTCTGTTCTCCTGTATTTGGGTGAAAGAAGCCATGCCAAGGGAATTGAGACTGTTCAGTCTGGAGAAAGAGGAGGCTCAGTGGAGACCTTATTGCTCTCTACAGAGACCTGAAGGGAGGGAGTGGTGAGGTGAGGGTTGGGCTCTTCTCCCAGGTAGCAGTGGTAGGATGAGGGAAGATTTAGGTTGGGTATTAGGAAAAAAATGCCCAGAAAGAGTGGTGAGGCAGTGGCACAGGCTGCCCAGGGAGGTGGTGGAGTCACTGTCCCTGGAGGTGTTCAAAAACTGTGTGGATGTGGCACTGATGGACATGGTTAGTGGGCATGGTGCGATGGGCTGACAGCTGTACCAGATGGTCTTACTGGTCTTTTCCAACCTTGATGATTCTATAAGTCTATTACATGACTATTTGGTTCTATTTTCAGAAGATTGGAGAACATTTTGGGTACATATATGTACCTTTATGTACCGATCGGCTAGAAAATGTTGAACTATTCCAGTAATTTAACACATGGGAGACAAGCTGGTGTCACATACAAATTTTTCCAGTTCTTTGGTAACCTTAATAATTCTATGATTTCACAGTCTTGTTTCATTGTTTCTGCAATCCCCAGACCAGGAATATAACTGCAGGATAAGTGGATTGTAAGACCTGAATGACAGCAGCACTCTCCTGACAGTGATCAAAGTGATAAGTGTGGAGAACAGGACCTTCTCACCCTCTGCTTACAAAACAACGTGGCTTTTATGCTTCAAAACTGAAATCAGACCTTCTACGGGCTGTATGGAATCTGCTTACTACCCAACCTCAATAAGACAAAGCGTCTCACATAGCAACAGTACGGCACGAGTACATCGCTATCGCAAGCACCGCAACAGCCCTCCTGGGCCCTCGTTGAGACAGCAACACCCGCCCCTCCCGCCTAACGGCCGCCGCGGACACCGCCGCGCCGCAATCCCCTCGCCCAATCAGCGCTCCGTTCTCCAACCTTCCACTTTCCGAGTGCCCCGACCGCCAATCGCCGTCTCTCACTGCTGCTCGCTCCGCCCTCCCCCATCTATTGGCTGACGGCGGGGCGGGGCGAAGCGCGCGCGCGGGCTTCCCGCCAGGGCCATTAGGGGTGGCGTTCCCGCTGCGCTCCGGGTGAGCCGGGGGCAGCTTCTCGGCCCGCAGGGGGGCGCCGTGGTGCGGGGGGCCGGGCCGGCGCGAGCGGCGGTTTGAAGTTTTGGCGGTTGGGCGGTGTCCGGCGCTGGCGTTCGGCTCCTTCCGCTGCCCGCTCGCAGGAAAGAGGCGGCGGGACGAGGGGAAAGGGGTCCCGGCCTGCGAGCTGGTGAGCGTGGGGGGGCCGCCGGGTGCGGCTTGGGCCGGGTCCGGGCGGTGGGGGTTCGTGTGGAGCGCTGAAGAAGCCGAGCCGGGGCCTCCCGGCTCGAGCTGTGACGGCAGCCGATCGCGTCACGGAACTCGCGGCTCCCCAGGTGGCTCCTGCTGCTGTTGGGGCAGTGCCGGAGGGCGGTCTCGCTCCGAGCAGCTTTGCGGGCTAAATATAGGCTGGCACCCCGAGCGGCGTCGGCGCTGCGGCTGGCGGGGAACGGCTCTTTTTAGGAAGTCGGAGGGGGCGGTAACAGAAGCGCCTGAAAGGTTTGCAGAGGGGGAATTGTGATCGATTCTTAAACGTGTATGTGAGCCGAGCGGGGCAATGGCCCAGGGGCACCGGCCGCTGTGTTTGGGCAGCGTTTGTGAGATTGTTACCGTGACGTAGGTAACCGTGTGCTCTTTTACTTCCAGATGCTGCTGGACCAGGGCTGACTGTTGCCAGCAGGGTGTTGCTTTAGGCAGATTGCGCAGCACGATGGAAAGCTTCCGAAACATTGCCGATGAGACCTTTCCCAGCTTCCTGGGCAGTTCACTGAATAGCAGTGCCAGCATCCTTGTGGAAAATGTCACCATCTCCTCCAACCCCGGTTTACCTGTTGCAGCTTCAACTGTTGCCAAGAACAAAGCAGGCCATGACAGCAGGTGAGGCCCTCGTTTAATTCTACTTAGTAATTCCACTTAATAATCTTACCAGCTGTCTGGTTTGACCCATTTAATTTGGAAAGGAAAAACTACCATCACATATTATTACACTGCTTAGTAATCAATAGTGGCTGTTTGTATTAGCAATGAAAAATCTGGGTGAGGTTCGTAACTCATAATGTAGTTAGCTTTCCATTAAAGTTATTCTTCAAAGGAATAATTTGGTTTTTAGAATGAAAAGATAACAGTACTTGAAGGGAGCATGTAAACAGGAGGGGGAATGGCTGTTTATTAGGGTGGATAGTGATAGGACAAGGGGGAACGGTTTTAACTAAGATAAGGTTTAAGTTAGTTATTAGGAGGAAATTTTTCATACAGAGGGTGGTGACGCACTGGAACAGGTTGCCCAAGGAGGTTGTGGATGCCCCATCCCTGGAGGCATTCAAGGCCAGGCTGGATGTGGCTCTGGGCAGCCTGATCTGGTGGTTGGCGACCCTGCACATAGCAGGGGAGTTGAAACTAGATGATCACTGTGTTCCTTTTCAACCCAGGCCATTCTATGATTCTATGAACAATTGAGCATAATTTCGTTTTTTACTTTGAGTATACTCTAGCCATTCGGAGAATATATTTAAAAAACGTGGGTACTATGTTAACCTACCTAAATCTCTCACATTTTAGAAAGGTAACGTAAGTAGAGACACCAGCTAAATTTTAATACAGTGTATAATGATTTGTTCAACAAGGGTTAAAACCAACAGTAACAACTGAAACCTTTGTTTATATCACTGCTGTCCCATGTGACTTTATATGCAGTAAGGTCAGACCATTAAGGCCTGTCTTCAGAAGTGTGCATTCCAAAAGTGGCAGTAGCCAAAGAGAATAAGAACGTGCTCATTCTCTTAAGAACTTGAAGAGAAGGAGCCTCAAGAAAGACATTATTGCTCACTACAACTTGCAACTCCCTGAAAGGAAATTGTGGTGAGGGCTGGCCTCTTCTCCCAGGTAACAGCAATAGGATGAGATGGAATGGCCTGAAGTTGCACCAGAGGAGGTTCAGGTTGGATATGAAGAAAAATTTCTTCTCAGAGCGGTGAGGCAGAGGCACAGGCTGCCCTGGGAGGTGGTGCAGTCACCATCCCTTGAGGTGTTCAAGAACCATGTGGATGTGGCACTGAGGTTCGTGGTTAGTGGGCATGGTGATGTTGATTTGTGATTGGACTGGATGGTCTTAATGATCATCCTTAATGAGTCTGTGATCCTATTTTCAGAAGATTAGAGAATGTTCTGGGTACCAAAACATACCTTCTATACAGATTGGCAAGAAAATGCAGAACTACTCAAGTAATTCAACACATGGGAGATCAGTGATTACCAAAGAACTGGAAAGAATTGTATTTGATTACAAAATAGAGATGCTTATCACAACAATTGTGTTTTCCCTCCCCACTCTTACAGGGTTTCTGATATCCGGGCATCTTATTTAGAAGAAGGGAAGCACTTACCTGCATCCCTATCTTCTCACAGTAGCCAGTTGGATCCTGAGCCAATGGGGAAGTTTGCCATCAGTTTTCACGATGACATGTGAGTGAGGCTGTTAAACTAATTTGTTCCTAAAAAGCATATAGCAACATAGTATTTAGATTTGTATATGCAATGGGCTACTCATGGAATATGTTTGGGTTTTGAAAATGAAATTATAAGCCATAAAAACCAAGCCAAATTGGGCCTCTAATAGTAATGTATCCTCCTGCCAAACATCCCATTCTCTGCTCTAAAAAGACTTTTCAAATTTAAATAGAGCTAATGCATAATGCAAAAATGTTTCCTTTCACTCAATGTGGAAACTTTAAAGTCTTCTGATTAGCCCAGTAAGCTAATTGTGTATGTGGCTATCAGAAGTGAAAAGTAAGTTTTGAGCAGAATTAGTGAAATTCTTTGTAGTTCTACTCAGTAGCTGCTTTTGTAAATCCCGTTCTTTATATTTCTGCTCCAGTTTAATGTTATGAACAACCTGCTGGTATTTATGGGCTTAGGAAAATCTTGTTTAGTTTTTGTTTGACTTGCTGTCAATTTGATCATGGAATTTTCCCAGCAGGAACCTCTTCCCTTTGGGCTTTCCTCACTTGTTGCAGAAATGCGGAGGAGAAGAAGAAATAGGGGACAAAACAACAACAACAACAAAATGGTGGCAGACACGCACATATATTAACATTAAATAGCTCTAGGTGCTTCTCTGGGACATTTTAGGTTGTGGAACAGCAGCCCTTGATCTTGATAATATTCCTCTATTATAAAATGATAGGTGACGTGTTAATGGGAACAGCGAAATTCCCAGGGATGAAGGTGTGAAAACTGGAGAACTTCTCAAATCTTTATGTAGAGAGATGTCGTATGCTGATGTTGATTACGTATAATTATGGTGTTTTAAATTGAAATAATTCTCTTTTTAGGGAAGTTGCTAAGTTGGTTAAAGAACCTCAGCCTGCAATTGTTAGTCTGAGAGAATCCTATTCCGTGGCTGGAGATCAAGACCAGAACGTCGTTGAGCATTCGAATCGCAGTCAAGATACCTTATTACCACTTGAACGATTGGAAGGTATTAAACTTCAAGAAAAACTACATGGTCTCAGTGTAGTTACCTTATTACAGTGTGGCTGTGGAGTTTTTCACCATTTCAGTGTTTTGTGGCATAGTGCAAATGCGATTTGGAAAAGAATCTTTTTATTTTGTACGAACTGAAAACGCAAAAAGCTTGGGATTGAGCAGAAGTCCAACAATGTGATGACAATGTACAGAGTTGTTTTCTACCCCTTCTCTTTCAATAGATGCGGGTTTATGAGGTTGTATTTTAACTGATGTTTCTTTTCTTGCCCTATTCCAGCCAATAATGAGTGGTTTTTTTTTGTTTTTTTTTATTTTTCGGCTGTGGCTGTACAAAGTAGAAGCTCATATTTATTTTTTTTAGTGTAACATATGGAAAAGTAGTTTGGAATGCTTGGCTGTGAAAACTGTTCCTTCTTGAAGTGTGAATGGAACAGCAGAAGCAAAACAATGTTCTGTAACTTGCTTTCAAAGTACAGTTACTGATGTTAACTATACGTAAGGGAGAGGGATTCTAATGTGATCAAATTCCTTTGGCTCCTTCAAGAGAGTAGATTTCATAAATACTTCTAGTCATTACCTTCTTCCAAGCTATCTGCAGTTTTGTGAGGTAAGCATTCATAATTCAATAGACAACACGTTCTATTAGGAAGTGCATGGTTTGTAATATAAATGCACCCTGATAAACCACTGTTCATTGAAGCATTGTCTTCAGCCATTTCTCCTTTTAGGCTTAAGGAAGTGACAGTAATATAGGAACAAGATGCTTTGGAAAATTGGGAGTGCCTTGTTTGGGCTTGGTTCTGAGCATTGCTACTTGGCTATTCAGTTTTAAGTTGTGCTGTATTTGAAGCTTAAGATTGTAGCCTGGAAACTGCTTTTTGTTCCCATTTGTTTCTGAAGAATTATGAACCTTTTCAGCTAACATCTGTATTTTAGATGTTAGCTCTGTCTTGTGGGACATGATTTGGTTATGGGAGAATACAGTAGAAAAGTGGAAGCTGCTTACAAATGATTTTAAGAGAAGATACTGTCTCAACAGTGGAATGAAACAGTGGAATATAATGCTCATTTCTGCTTCTGTAATGTGCCACTCTCTCCTTCACAGTGCTTGTAAGAAAGCCTTCAGGCAGTAATTGTCTACATGCTGTTTACAGTTCTAGCCCTGTTGAAACCTTGCCTTTTTAATTGTTTCCAAGACGCTTTTGATTGTTCTTGTATGAACGCAGGAACTTTGGTCTTATTATAACGTGTACATTTCAAGAGGCTGTCTTATAGAATGGTTACTACCTAGTGTTCTCATATTATGCTACTAACATACTGATTTTTACTATATTTTTTGTTCCAGATTTACCAACTGGAATATGTTTTCTTCCAGACAGTAAGGATAACAAGGTAAAAACTTCTTAAATACTGTGAAATTATAGATACCCTAATAATAATCTTGTATGAGACTTCTCTCTCAGGAAGGAAAAGAAAGGAAAGTGATGCAACAGTGTTCATTGTTTAGCTGTGTATACCTGCAGGCTGTAACAGCATGTCGTGTCTCATTTTGCCTCTGTTTTCCACATCACTTCACATAATTAGCACCACGGGAGTGTGACTCCACCTGATCTCTCTGTTGTGAAAGCTGTTGTTTATTCCTACCTTGTGCTGTCTTCTCATTCTTTATCCATGTGTGAATCTTTTAAGCACAATTGTAGTTTGCCCTAATGAAGAGTCTTGGAGGAACCTTTCTGAATGCTTTTGGAAGTTGAAGTAGGCTACCAGTCTGATCTGTGATGCCTTTATACTTGTTAATTGCTTAGAGGAATATTAGTTCACATGACTTCTTCAGTGTTCCCAACATAAACCACACCATTTGTAAGACCTCAGTCTTGTTGCACCTGGATTTTTTCTCTCTTTTTCCATCGTTGAAAACAGCTGCATCAGGTACTGGCAGGGCTGTGCTTCAACTGCTTTCTGCTGTTGTAGAGAAGCTGATGCTTATGGGTGCAGATGGGAATGAGAGCTCACAGCTCTTGTAGAAAGCACACCTCAGGCTGCAGCCTGATGCTGTCCAGTTGTACGCTTCTTGATGTGTCAGCTGGTGTTTTCTAAATTACTTTAGTTTACTTTCATTTGGTCTGTGTTTGTGCTTGTGTGTGTTTTATGGGCCACAGGGGCCTGTGACTTGCAGCGGAATGCTCTCAGTCTGTCATTGAAAAGTAGTACCTCTCTTTCAAAACGTCTGTCCTTTCTGAACTTTCATATTTCCTAGCTGTCAGAGATGAAACAGTGTGAGACTAAATCCAAAGTAGGCGTTGTGCTACTGCTTTCTTAAAAAATAACAACAGGAGTTTGATTTTGGTGTATGATTTCTGAAGAAGCATTCATTTAGCATTATAGAAACCTATTGTGCATTTCCTACTGTGCACTTTAAGATGAAGGATTTTTTTTTTCCCTAATAAACTCCTTAATGCAGTAGTTCAGTATTTTGGTTCTGAGATCTTTCAAGTTTGATGTTATTCAGGTGTTTTTTCCCTTTTATGATGTTTGTGTTTCTTTCATGTTTCCTTTGTGGAAGCTAGAAGGCAAAATCGACTGGAGCTGAATACTTCCTGGGATGTGTAAGAAGGAAGGGGTAGAGTTTTAAAATGTTACTTAAACCTCTTTAATTGCTTCTTATTTAGGGGATTTATGCAATAGCTGGTCATTCACAGGCAGATTTACATATGGATGTTTCTCACAGGTTACTCCATCTGAACCTTCAGAAAAACTGGTAGAAACTGAAACCTCAAGTGATCATCTTAGCATCAGTCTTTCAAGTTTTTTAGAAAATGAGAAACTCTCATCTCTTTCAAGCTTAGGAGGAGATTCCACAGGTAAGGGATTTGTAACTTTATAGCTTTCTCTGGATAGTTATATTTAGAATTCTGACACAACATTGCTACCTACTTGAGGAGAAATGTATTACTTAAGCATAATTCTGTAAAAAATACTTCATCCAAAACTTGTGTGAAGAAAATTACAGAAAACCCAACTTATTTTGAGGTGGAAAAACAGGATCATTCTGCTCCGACTGTATGAATGTGTCTTGATGCATTAAAGATTATGGAGTTGTTCTGATAGCCTGCCAGGTGATTTATAAAATACCTCTGAAGGGTGAATGGGATGTTTTCTTTTGTTTCAATAGATGATGATATTGATGATGAAGAGTTCTTTGATAACCAACTGGAAGCTTATTTTGAGCAGCTGATACCACCTGAAGTGACCAGAGGAGACACTGACATAGGGAAGCTTTCAGATGGCTGTGAAGCTCTGAAGCTTCCTGAAAATGGCTTGCTTCAAGTAAGTTTTAAGATGGAGTTCCAAACCTAGTATTCCTAATGGCTGTGAAACACAGTAGTATTGTTGAGAATTGTCTGCCAGGGTGGACAAGATATTCTTTCGTGACAAACCCAAACACTACCCCACAGATAGCATTAAGCAAAGGACTATTGTTTCTTAATTTTTTTTTTTGTAATTGATAGCTAATATAGCTCGAAGCAGGAAACAAAGCACTTTAAACGAGATTCTGGCTTTCTTTTCCCTATGCAAGGTTTTCCCTAGGAGAAAAATAAAAAGAAACAAAAGAAGCTAAATAGCATAGCAGTGTTTGTATTAATTATCTTATAGTGCTGAGCTAGCAGCCGACAAATATGCTTGTTACGGAGGATCTTTCTGCTTATGTGATAAGGCATGGGGAAATTAGGTAAGTAGTTGGCTGTCCCAAGAGACGTTAATCTGGAAGGCTTGCAGAAATGCTCACGGGTTTCCTGTTACGCTGTTGTCTTTATTTAGGCCTTCGTTCAGATTTTCTACACTCATCTTTGTCGTGGCCTTCTTTCTCCTGATAAGCAGTTCCAGACTTTGTGCAGTCAGTTTTGTTACTTGATCTTGCAAAGGGGTAAATAACGCAAGTGCTAAGGTTATATTACTGTCCTCTGATATGATGGAGACCTGTCCTAGGGTTAATAACTAACATAACATCAATGGTATTTCCTGAAGATGGACCTTTTCTTGCTGGACTGCGTAAGACTTCATTTCTTAAGTCCTATTATTGTAAGTATGCTTTTCAGATAAAATCTCTTCTATCTCTAAGCTGTAGGATGAGAAAAAGGAATAAAGACCTGAGCAGCTCTTTATTTAAATAGCTGCTAGCAATTCAGCATCACCTGTTGATATTCTAGCTTGACCTTTAGAGTAAAGTAACAGTGGGGTAGGATGCAAGTCAGCACTTGCTGCTGTAAGAGCTAGCCTCTGCTTGACAAGTTCAGTCTGTGCTGCAGTTCAGTCTAATGTTTCAGGGGCTGCTTTTTGGAGTTCTGCTTCTTGTGTATGTGAGTTTGAACTTACTGCAACTCTGAGGTGTTCGCTTGAATGAACTGTGGTACACCTTCTCTACTTTTCCCACTGCTGATGTTAGTATCAGGTTTGTAGGTACGCATTTGGAACCCCCTCAGGTCCAGTAGGGGAAACAATATTACTGGTAACCAAGCAAAAGCCTTTACTAATATTGCAGTCTGATGAAACCATGATTTTTACTAGCATCTGAGTGCAAGGAATTCTTAAGGCTGTCTAATATCCATAAAACACTAGCTTTACCTCTTCCTTCCACTCCCAACAAGCTGGTTGGATGAACTGCAAGGAAGGCCATCTTTATATCTTGTAAATTCCAGGAGATGAGTGTATTTTCTTTTTAGGCATTGCTAAATTTTATTTTGATGGTTCTATGACAAGAAATGATTTTAATAGTTGTAACTTTTTGCTAGTCTTTGTTATAGTTTAAATGCAACATTGTTCAAAGGACAGTGTGGAGCTTTCTTTTAAGACGTTGATCATCTTGTTGAAAACAAGTTGATTTCTTTTCTGATGAAGGATTGTTTTATTTTTTCTTTTTACATATACTTTAGGGTTTGCTGGCATTAATGCTTATTTCATTTTGTACAACTAGTTTTTATAAAGAGCTTTTCAATCACCAGCTTGATTGCTGAGGTCATAGTCTTCAAGGTTTTTTTAAACATGTAGCATCATGAGGCTGTTTTTGCAAGGGAGTAAATGGTCTCCTGAAGTCTCTGTGAGGAGGGTAAGCAGAGAGCAACAGCTACCTGGTGGTTTGTCTTAGAACACCATTTCTCTCTTACAGATTGCTCGGTGTCTGTAACCCTGAATGAAAACTTGATACTTACATGCTTGACCAGAACAGTGAAGTGTGATTGATTGAATCATGGTTGCAAAGATTATGATTATTCTAAGGATGTGTTGTCTGACAGCTTCATAAATTTCCCACTTGACTTCAAAAATTCCAGGCTGTGGGAAGTGATCTGTTAACCCTTTCGATGGCACTCTGCACAGGTTGCCAGTTGTTGATGGACAGCTGTATGTGAGGAATAGAATAGATGACTGTTTTAAGACCGTGTGGCCATGGCGAAGAGTGAGAACAGCAGAGCTGTGTTCTCTGACCTCAGGCTTGATGTAAAGAGAGCAAGATGCTGCTGCTTCACTGTGGCTGTAGATGGGCAGTGGGGTAGGTGCCAAAAGGTTCCAGGCTGGGATTCTCATTCAGTGATAGATTCGGAGAAGAAATAGTACAGTGCCCTTGTTAAAGAAAATGAAATAACATAGTGGGATTAAAAAGGAAAGAGATGCCCCATCTTCTTGCTCTGTACATACTGAAGGCAGATTGGTGGACTGGCATAGCCATCAGTGTGTTTTATTTTTCTCTTCAGCATTGTGGATGTGATGTAACTTAAAATTTTTATTGTCTTTTTTTGAGGACTTCCAGGATCCCAATATGTACCAGGCTGTGACAGGAGGAGACTCAGGAAATGCTAATGATGAAGGTTCGCAAAAGCAAGGGATGATTGGGTGTCCTGTGCAAACAGAAAAACTGCCCCGACCAAGAAGACAGCTGGTATGGAGTTATCTCTTAAATATATATAGAATAAGGCTAGCATAAAGTAAATATGGTTGTGCTTTTAAACTTATAAGAGGTTGAACTAACAACCCAAACTTTCTTTAGAAAAGATGAATAGTAAGGCTTTGTTTTTTTGAATATGTTTTTCAGCCATGGTTAACTTTGGCTATTTTGTACCTAGAACTATTAACACAAGCAATTAACAAATGCAATTCTGACACTTAAGAATAACTGTAATAACTTAAGTTTTTTTTTTTTTCCTAAGAATTCCATGACCAGCAGAGATGTGCTGGAATCCTGCAGTGCCGCTGAGCTGTGTTTAGATTCACTGTATCTTCAGTGCATCAGCAGCCATAGAGCTGATGGCGAGGGTGCTTTTTCCAAGCAGGAAGTATGGTCCTCTGAGCATCAGTCTGCTGCTTCTGATGGTGAAGTACTACATCCAGCAGAAGGGTTTCTGGAGCACTACACCAATCCTAGAATTCCTCTTAGTGCAGATGAACCTGCAGCTGTCCCAGGTGCAACTGGGTGTGAGGTTGGCCTCTCTGATACTTACTTGTCTCCAACTGCAGACAGCTGTCAGAATAAAAGTTTAGCTACAACGGACTCAGGTATGTTGTTTTATATATGACATAACTATGCCACTGTTGCATGGAAAAAGAAATAAAATTGTAAGCTGTGCTTTTTTCTTTAGTAAAAAAAAATTCACGATTTCTTTACAAATAAGAAAAAATGTAACTTGAATAAATTGTTTTTGTTTTTATAAATTACTGATTGATGGCTATTGCAAACTTCTTTGGCAGAGCTGCTGCAACTTGAAATTGCAGCTACTTGATCTACAATAACTTGTTGCTGGCCTTTAGTGAGTAGATTCATTTAAATTCAAGACATTTTGCCTTGTTCCTTTTATTTTAATCATCTAGGCATCATTTGTTGTATATTTCAGGTGATGCACCACATAGCATTGTTTATCAAAATGAAGAAGGCAAATGGGTGACTGATCTTGCTTACTATACTTCGTTTGATGGAGAACAAGATTTAAACCTGTCTGAGGATGATAAAATAAATGAGTTCATAACTGGATGTATGTAATCTTTTATCCTTTTTAGTTGGCTGTTCCTATCTGTTAGTATAGTTAAGGAAACTTTTTCTCTTCCTTTTTTATTTTTTCCACTTTAAAAATAAATGGTGTTTAGTATTCAAAGCCTGTAGGCTTTAGATACTAAATCTTATTTGAAAGCTGTTGTCATCAGCATATAATGATAGTTTCAGCTGACAGCTTATTTCCATGTTTCTTACTCGTCCCAGTAAGAGTGTCACTGATACCGACTGTATGAGCAAAATAGCTACCCTGTCTGTCATTTCCAGAAGTGTTGGTTAGAATTTTAATTATTGTTATTCTTTTCATCAAGAAGAGGAAGCCATTGTTCTGTACTGCATGATGGTTATAAGACAGGAAACTGTAAGCAAGAAATTATTATGTAAACAAGCAAGTAAATGTGAAAAGAGCTGCTGAATTCTCTGGCTGGTGATTTTTGTGAACTTGGGGATGTCTTGGTGCTGAGTGCTTACGCTTAGCACTGGTACTGCAAAATGTCACTAAGGGCCATTTACAGGACTCTTCTAAGAAATTCTAGGCTTTTTGAATCTTTCTCTACTTCAGTTTTAATTTTCCTTTACCTGTCTCAGGCTGATCTTCATGAGAGTCTGTGTTTGTCGTACAAGATTGGGTAGTATGCATGTAGTGCTGTGGGCAAATAAATTCCTCAGCACCAAAATGTATTGTAAACAACTGTCTTACCGTACAGACTTAAGCATTGTATGCAGTGGAGTTTCTCTCCGCTGAGAAAGAAGTTTGCTTTCCTCAGAAGCAACAAAATTCCAACTTCCCTTAAGTAATTTTTATAGACAGCGAACTTTGGCCATGTTAACTTGCACAGGTATTTCGTGAACTGATACAAACTGAACCAATCTCTTTCTTTTGCTGAAGTTCAGCACTTAATTTTCTAACCTGAATGTTGTCTAAGTTGGTTTGGAAGCTCCGTTCTACCTAGTATAGATAGCAGAACCAATAATATGATTTGCTTTCAGGACGAGGTTATAAGAGGCCTTCTGTACTGAGCTCTAAGGTAGCTAGCCAAATGCTTCTTTTACTGGGGTGCCTAAAGGTCAGGGAATGCTGTTTTAAACCAACTTCACATGAACCTTTCTTGCTATTATGTGAGGAATAACTCCTGGTTTCTCCCAAGTTGTCTTGGATGTAGAATTAAGCATCTTTGCCTCAAAGTTTAGTTTAATGATGCAGAATAGTAATGGCAACTCTTATTTAATAAATGTCTTCTTTGATTTTAAGCTGAAGCAGCAGCAGTGATTGCACAAGACCAGGAAGAGTTTGAGAAAGCGCACAGACTTTTGCAGGTAAGTAATGATCTGAATGCAGGCAGAATAACTGCCATTTATTTACAGATGACAATTTTTGTCACTTCTTTGCAGGCAGAGAAAGTAGACATTCTAAATGCATCTGAATTAGCAAATTCTTCATGGAAATCTGCCGGCAGCTGCCTTCTGCCAAAAATGTCTGATGTTAGTAAAGATGCCAGCTACTTACGTTTGTCTCTGGGGGAGTTCTTTGGTCAGAGGTCTGAAGCTCTTGGTTGTCTTGGTGGAGGCAGCGATGTGAAACGGGTATGTATCTCAGTGTTATGAGAGGCAAGGGAAGGATAAGAAAAAACAGAACTGCTTTTTTTTTGTTGTTGTCATAACTATTTCTGAGAACTGCTTCTAATTCTTTATGCATATACAACAAGGATGAGTTGTTTTTTGTTTCTCATTTGACATTTATGATGTGAAGGGATGACTAGTATTACCAAGGAATCTTTATAATTAATTCTTGGTAAAAAACATAGGGTTAGAGAGAGGGAAGGTAGGCCTTGTTACAGGCTGCTTGCTGGAGATAAGAGCAAGCAGTCCACAGAGTTGAATGGAACACTACTAAGAGGGAAATTTGAGTGAGGTGTCTCTAAGTGGCTGTTGATAATTGTGCTATCTAAGCAAAAGCTCACTTCCAGTAAAAGCATAATCATCTAGACCTCAACTTACCAATAGACTTTTATGTGTTTCTTACCTGCTGTTGGGTAGACAGCATCTCACCTGTGCTGCAGATGAACAGAACCTGAGAGTTGTGTTTAAGGGGATATGCTTGTGTAATTCAGTTTTGTCCTAGTGTACTGGTAGAGTGAGCATGTTCTGTACTGCTGCAGAACTGATGAGAGCACATGTACTTTCTTTTGTCTAACTGGTGTAAATACATTTTCTGCTGTTTTTTTTTTTCATTTTTGTGTGTTGTATGCTTTTATTTTTTTGTTATTTAAATAGCATTGTATGTATGTCAGGTAGGCGTTTACAAAGCTAGGAGGCATATGTTATTTCTCAGCCAAATACCAACTGAGGAGACACTAGCTGAAACTACTTTGCATACCCACTGGAACTGTGGGTATTTCATGATTGAATTTACTAATGTTGTATTCTGGGTTGTCTCTTTTTTTTTCTTTTTATAGCCTTCTTTTGGCTACCATATTACATCTCCGAAGACAAGGCAACCTGTTGCTTTGCTAAGGCAATTTGATGCATCAGTAGGTGACACTACCCAAGAAACTTCACAATTTTCTGAAGTGTTTCCAGGTAATTATAGAGCAGGATGAACCTCAGACCAGTAGTTGTAACATTAATGAGGAGTTATCTGTGTGGAACTGTTAAAGACTGTACAAGTATGTGATAGAGACTGGAGAGAAGTATGTGATAAACTCATTGTAATCATCTTAATCACTTTCAGGTGTGTGAGGGTGAAGATGGAAGGTATTCACACCAAAGAAACACAAACCCTAAAGCGTTGTGTGAGAGCATTCCAGTACCAACTAGTAAACTGGATTGCCCTGGCCACTTCCACATTTTCAGATGCTGGATAAATACCAGAATGTCTTGTAATAATTAAAGCATGTTCAGGGTTTACCTATTGAAAAAGCTATATAGTTGTGTTGACAAAAGAACAACAACAACAAGCCCAACAAAAACAATGAACCACAAAAACAGGAAGTTGATTTATTTTCCATTTAGATATAGAGGATGTAGGGAAAGTAGTAGATCAGGTTATAACTGTCTGTGTGTGTATATACAAGTCTAACTTTTCCTTCCATCTTTTAGAATAAATAAGTAATTATACTCCTGGGATATCTGATTAAAGAAAGAATAAGGAAATTCCTCCAAAATCTTATGTGCAAAGACCAGAAGGTGCATTTTTGCATAACTTGCATATAAACTGAATGATATATATGTAGGAGATTGAGAGCACTTAATCAAAAGATGAGTTCCTTTTAAAGCATCTTTGCTGTTCTTATACACTTAAGGCAATATCAGCCTTCTGAATCCATTTGTAGCATCAATGCTGTGGCTTACATAAACTTCTACAGTGATGAAAACATCAGTTAGAATTTTATGTAGGACATTTCCTTAAAAGCAACTTTACAGCCATTATTTTCCCAGGTCTGAGCCCTTCCAAATATTTTTAAAGCATCCCTAATTATGTTATTTTGCTTGTTTTGTTTTCTTTAAACCTAGTGCTACTGTGCTTAAATTCACTCTACACTAGTCTGGATTTTTTGTTTACAGTTTGTTTAAAAACAAACAAACAAGATGTTTCTTGAATCTTGTGACCTTTGTTGAGGTAGAAGCTAGCTGTAATTGCTGCTTTAAGTAATAGGTAAATACCATAGTGTGCTCTGCAAATACTTTGTAAATGCTAGAGAAAGTGGCCACAAATTGACTTAAATACCCAATATATTAATAGCAATTGTCATGTGAATTTTTTTCAGGAGTACTGGCAATTATCTTTATTAACAATATTAGTATACAATCCTTTTTTAAGGAACAGTAGATGCAGAAGAAACTGAGAGCTTAGTGACCTGAGCAGGATATTACTTGAAGTACTGAGGATATCCAAACTCCAAATATCTGCCACAAGTAGAAGAGAAGCTAAATTAACTGAAGTAAACACACTTCATACTAAGTGTATTAACTTAGTATGTTAAGCAGAGCTTTTTAATAAATAGTATATAGTGTTCTATGGAGTCTGGATGTTTTCCTTCGAGCAGAAGCTCCTTGGTGATATAACAGTTTCTACATCTCATCAGTACATTATTTCCTACTTTGTGTTCTGTCTGATAATCCAGAAGATTCTTAATAGACTTGATGGATTCAGAGGGGTGTCCTTCTCAGTATAATCCTTCAAGATCACCGGTTCACTGCTATCTACCTCTCTCAGACTCCCTAGTATATGAAAAAACGTTTTACTCAGTTCTAACTCTTATGGTTTTATGTTAGAGCTGGGTCTACGTTTATGCTACCTTGTGAATAACATTTTATGGAAAGACATGTTTAGCTTGTGCTAATATGGTAGGCTACCTGAAAATGAAGTGTGAGCTTGGTATTGTTAACATCACTAATTTTGTTAACTGAATGAAGATGTTCTTTCAATATTATAACTATACAGGTGATTGTTGATGGTTCTTGTATTGTGTTCAACTGGAACAGACTGTTGTAATGAACAAACAGGACAGTTCACTTCCCGTGAATGAAGTTGTTCAAACAGTATACTTGGAAATTAATTGTAGGTCTTTTTCTTTCTTCTTAGAAGACTTGGAAGCTCAAGCAAAGGAACATGTGAGTTCTACCAGCTGTGAAGATGCGTGGTGTAGTGTGGAGGCTGCAGCTGGAATACAAAAAGGCATTAATACAGAAACTGCTTCCAAAAGTGACACAAAGGTATTTTTTTTGCATTTTCTATTAATTACAAGTGTGAACTTGAAAAAAAGTCACTTCTGTTGTTATTGTTTCTTTGGGTAAGGTTAAGTTTAGACTTTGATCTCAACCTACTTCAGCCTTTTATGCTGATAACTTGAATCCTAGCAGAAGTCTTTTACTTCTTAGACTAGTTTCATTAGATTGTTATGATCTATGAAGTAGGTCTGGTCGTACCAGCACTGAATAGAAGAAACAGCACCTTTAACCTGCTGATCAATCTCTTCTTGCTGCAGCATAGATTGCTGTTGGCTTTTTTTTTTTTTTCTACAAGGGGATGTTGCTGGCTCATGGTCAACTTGATGACTACCTGGACCTCTGATTTCTTTTCTACCAAGCTGTTTTCCAGCTGGTCAGTCCCTAACCAGTACTAGTGCAAGGACTTATTCTTCCCCAGGCTGAAAGGCGTTTTTCTTTGAAATTCACAATATTTCTCTCATCCTGTTTCTCCAACCTGCTGAGGTCTTTCTGAACGATGCCAGCCCATCTTATGTATGAACCACACCTTTGCAGACTTGCTATGAGGCTGTGCTCTGTTCCATTATCAACGTCACTGATAATGATACTGGCACAACATCCTTCCCTGGGATACCTCATTATGGACCTCAGGCTACTCATAGCCTCCTGACAGACTGTGTGCCCTGATAACAACATGTTACATCCAGTTCTTAGTCATAATCTCCTTGTCCACTCCATAAATCAATAGTCTTTTTATGAGGATACCGTGAGGGCTTGTGTGGATATCTATGAGAGGACATAAATGCAAGTTCACAAAAAGAAATCTTATCTACAAAAGAGATGGGAAGAGATTATGATCTAGAGGTGACATTGCCTAGTTATGCCAGTGTTTTGCTAAGAATAGGGTGTGCAAATTCAATAAGTCATGAGACTTCAGAGATGCAGAGAAGCGTGGAATTTATTTTGTTTCACTTTGTTGAGAGGCAGATGATTGGAAGTTATTTGGGAGGATAGTGTGTGTTTGGTCAGTTTCCTCCCTACTCTGTCTTTGGTTGTATTTACTTGTAGTCCCTAAAACCAAGCTAAGGCAGATAGGAGAATTTTGTGTGTATCAAGTTGCCAAGTTTTAAAGGCACAGAAGCTTCCTAGCAGGCAATCCTTATGGCAAGCAGTCTTGGAAAATCAGTGGTTTGCCTGTTGTAGTGTTTCTCCTTGTCAACAGATTAAGCCTCGGGCAACAAGAAATATTAATATAATATCAGGCATTCCACACCTGGCATAAATTCAAATACAAAATCATTCTTCATTTGGTGCTTAACCTGCTTTTCTTTGTTGTAGGATGGAGTTAATGAAGACAAGTTGGAAGGTGGCTTATCTAATCATTCTGACTCTGTCCTCAGTATTAGCACAATTGCCTCTGCTATTGCTAATGCTTCTTGCAGTGCTGATCCTTCCCAATTGGCTGCTATGATGATGACACTCTCCAATAAAAATAGAAAAAAGTGTTTCCTTCCTGGAATTGTTAAAGAGATGGAACTCACAGCTGATCAGACATTATCCAGTCATGTGGAAAACAGTACATTTGATATGGAAAAATATCTCAAAAAAACAGATGAGATGGGACATGAAAGTGAGCGTGAGAGTATTGTAAAACTTGAGACATCTGTCCAGAACAGTATGTCTGAAAGCACTTCAATGGGTAAAGTTAGAAACAAAGAAACTCTTGTAGAAGACTTTTTAAATGATCATAATGAGCAGCAACAAACAGAGAAGCAGTTTCTGGATTATTTTAATGCAGAAAATGGTACTCAGAATATCTCTAGCTCATCTGGTGCTTCCAGGCATGAAGACAGAGCTGCAAATAGCATTAAGTATTCAGAGAAGTTATCTGATATATTAAATAGTAAACATGTGCAGTTGATGAGTGCTACTCTTAAATCTGATGTGCTGGATATCCGAACTTCACCTAGTAGAAACAAAGCACAGACATGTGAAACTCCTTTAGCATCTAAAAGGGAAATGGCACAGAGACTTCTGTTTGCTCAGGAGGCTGACAATCTTACTAGCAGATGTTGTAGCAGGGAAGATGGAGGAACAGTAGATCAAGTGAAAAATGCTGTTCCCGAACCATGTAATGATTTGGAGAGAAATACAAGAAACATCGTGCCACTCAGCAATGTAAAATCTACCAAACAACCTGGTAAATATGTCTCAGTAAGTCCTACAAAAGCAAAGCCTGTGCAAAAATTGGACCCTGATGAAGAGACGCAAAGCACAGAAGTGGAGGAGAGAGCCAAAGAGAGCAGTGCTGCTGGCAGTGGTAACCTGAAACATGTAACTTTTGAGAAGCTCTCTCCAACTTGCCAAAATAGTGGTGGTAAGTAATTGTAACTAGTAATCTAAAAAGATGAAAGCAACCAGTTGTAGGAAAGGCTTTTCTTGAAATAGACTTGTTTCCAGTGCTTATACACTTATAAAATTCTGTTTATTTATCAGAGCATCAATCCATGCTCCCTGAATGTGACTTGCAGCCTTTAGAGGATGAGCAGTATAGCTTCAGGCCTTCAACTTCACCGCTGATTCACTCTTCTCCTAGTGACACTTCTGGAACAGCATTTTCAGGGTAAATTTTTTAGCGTGGGTTATAAGAATTGCTACAGTTTCATGGGGATCTTGGAGTCATCAGGTTTTAAAGTAAATATTGTTTTTGACTTCAGTTTATAGAAGACTTTTTTTTTTTTTTTTTTTTAAGACTAGGACTTTGTTCTGTGTGTAAGCTTACTCTTAGGTTTTAATGTATGTGTGGAGGAGCATTCTTAAGCAATTGCTGATTTATTTGCCTTGTTGGTATGATGATAGAGTTGCTGGACAGGAATGTATCTGTTTCTGCTCAGGATTGTCCAATAATGCAAGAATACAGAATACTCAGCCAGTCAGATACTGTGGATACTTAAACCTTTGTGATGATGGAACTGTCGACTGCAGTATTTAGTTTTTATTCATTTTTTGTTATGGTTCTAGTTATGTAATAACAAAGCTTGATATTGTATACAACCAATGATGGCCTGGGTTGTTATTATTTTTGTTGTGTTTTTTAAAGTTGTATTTAGGTCAGTTTTGTTCTCTAATTCATATCACTGCTTGTGGTGAGAGAATAATTAGAAATATTTGTATTACTTATGAACACTTTCATATTTGAAACTGTAACTTTGTCCCCAAGATTTCAGCATTTCTTAGCAACTGAATGGGTAATGGTTTTTTTTTTGTTTTTTTTTTTTTTTTTAAATGAGTTCCAGTAATAAGAGGAGCTGTGTGAATTATAGGATTGCTACCAAGTCTTGTGGTTTTAAACATATACTATGGCCAGTGGCAATTCATTTTCTTGTGGGCATGCATTCTGTGTCGTCTGACATACTTCCTATCTGTTTTTCAGGTCTGAGGCTGATTTTATTAGCACATCACATCATCCAAAATCATCTTGCAAGGAGAGTACTGTATCTCAGTCGGTTTACTCAAGCCCAAGCATGAGCAGATTAACATATGTCTCTGAATCTGACAGTACGCTTAAGAATACATCTGTAATGTGTGATCCAGAGACACACTGGGTAAGAAAATCTATGACTGTAATTATGCCCTATGCTCTGCCCTACGAACTGTTACACGGTCAAAATCATTTTTAATGATTAGAACAGCCTGAAAGGTTTCAGAATAGTTTAGTGTACACTGTGCTTAGCAAAAAGGTATTGTGCTTTTCCCTCTTTTCTTCCCTACTCCCAAGTTTCAGGAATTTAAATTCTGAAGTAGGTTTTGTTAAATTACAAACCCAAGTGAATGTAAGAGTAAACCATTCAACGGACTTCTGGAAAATGCTAGAGTTGGTGTATTTTTTTCCATGTTTTTCTGAGTTGCTTCTTGAGTAATTCTGTTCTTGGAATGCAGTGCAGCATTCTAGCAGCAGTTAGCAGGCTCTTCATCTGCTTTTTTCACCCCTGAGGCTCCCTTTCTGTTTTGTTTCATTTTCTGGTAAGAGTACTTCCCTTTGCCTACAACCTAAGAAATGTTTATCAGTGCATATTTTAGCTTCCACCAATTATTTCAGGACTGAAAATACCATTGGTCTACCTCTGATAATCATTCTCGCTGTTCTTACTGATTTAGTAAAGAGTGTATCTCAGAGTGAAACTTCAATTCAGACTTGCAGTCTTATGCTGATTGAGATAGTTAATATTCTCTTAACTCAGTCCATGGTTTCTTTGGAATCTGAGATCTTTGTTATGCTTCCTCCCTCCAAAATGTGCAACCATGTGGATGAAACTTTAAAACAAACAAGTTCAAAATCTCTTAGATTACAAAAATAAGAGATGCCATTTAAACTTCCACTGAGATAGGTACAACATCTTAATTACTTTTGAATTTCTCTAACGGTTAGTAGAAATGTTCACTGCTAGATGTATCTTTCATTTGTAGGTATGAGAAAAACACTAAAAATTTCAGGTCTATGGGAGGACTTTGATAAGTAAATCGAGGTGGGGGGGGGGGGCGGGGGGCTGGAGAAGGATGATATAATTGTTGCAAAAGAAATCACCACCAGCAGACCAATGCCCAGGCAATCTCCAAGGAACAGTTACTCTGGAAAAAATATGCCACAGTTTTATTTCTGAATGTATGGAGCATTTCTTTTTTGTCAGCTGTCCTGACCATCTCCCCTCCCAGCTTCTTGCCCACCCACAGCTTTACTTACTGCTGTGGTGAAGTGAGAAACAAAGGTGACCTTGACTCTGCCAACATTGCTCAGCAGTATTTGAAACATCAATATGTTATCATCATTGTTTTTTATCACAAATCCAAAACATAGCACCACAGGGCTGCTGTGAAGAAAACTGGCTTCATATTGAGCAGATGCCATACACCTAGTTACATGTGACTTCAGATAGCAAACAGGCTGAAGCAACAGGCTTTCTTTCTCAGAGTAGATAGTCACAGATGTCTGAAGTCTTGTTTTTGTAACAAGACTTGACAAATTTGATCACTTAATGGTAATGGCTGGCGGTACCAATATTAGGGTCTGTTTCATGAATCCTGTTTGCTTTTCTAGAATGTGTAATATTTGTCGTAATACTGTGTATCACATTTGCTTACTAGAGTGAAAATGCAAGTGAACTAAGTACAACAATAATTCGAGCCAGCCCAACTCCTTCACAGGAGCAAACGAACAAGAATTTAGAAGACTACTTGTGCCAAAGAAACCGCAAAGGAATACAGTTCAGTGTTGATCAAAAATCAGAAGAAAATGAACTTGCGCATCCGGAAAGAAAGCTTGAAGGACGAGGTCAAGAACTGACCAAGGAAGATCTTCCAAAGAATGGAAGGCAGCTTACCTCTGCTGCCTCAAAAGTAGCAGCAACTCTTAAAGAGTTAGACCCTGTTATATCAGCTCTTGCAAGTAAATTCTGCGTCTTTCAGCCACTTCCTGTTAATGTTGGTGCACAAGAAGCATGGCAGGATCGCACAAATAAAGCACAGAGCCAGGGATTGCCATCCTTAAATGCGTTGCCCGTATATCCTGGATTAAGAACTTGTATTCCGATAAATCAAAGCGCTCCTGGTGAACAGTATATTCCTATTTCAAGCTTTAAATCCCACATCACTACCTCTGAAAGTCAAACAGTTTCTTCTGTTGCGACGTTACTTCCAGGCCATTCCTTGGCAACAACTCAATTTGCACAGCAGCATCTAGGAAACATACTATCTACTGGAAACAAAGTTTTACCTCAGTTTCATGGCTGCAGCTCTGCAGGTTTTAGTGTACCATCATCAGGGCTTCCTTACTCCAGCATCTCAGCAGGACGTGTGGAAAATCCAGTTCCAGCAGGAATCCCTTTGGGTTCGAATATTGGTCCCGGTTCTTTGGGTACAGCTGCACTTTGTCATCCACACTCTACTTCCTGGAGCAAGAATACCTTAAATATAAGATCGTGTACTGTACAACCCCTTGGGACTAGTAGAAATGAGTGGGACTTTTCGACGTCACCTGGTGTTGGTAAGGCTTATTTAAAGCGCGCTTTTAAAATAGCTGTGGTCAGGAATAGCTAAAAGTACTATAAAGGAGTAAGTAAATGTAGGAGTGTGTGTGACCACAGCTATTCTTTATGCAAGCTGATAATTGAGAAAAATGATATTACTGATTTTCTTTGGTTAATGGTATCTTCTGAATTTAGTGTCTATTCTTCTAGTCTTCCTAATACCCTTAAAATGTGTTTTTTGTAATCAAGGAAAGTAGATCTCAGCATTCAGTGGTTTTGTGGTTGTGGAAAGGATCTGTTGCACTCTTTGTCGTGAGGGAGAGAAATCCTAGCTGCAGTTTGTGCTAGGCAAGACAACTCGTCCTGGAAGTTCAGCTGCACTTGAGCTGAAAAGCAGAAGGCATTTCTGTCACTGTCGTGGGCAGATATTAACAGCCAGTTAAGCCAAAAAATCCCAGAACTGGGGGGCAGAAGCTGCTCTCTGCTTTTTTCAGTTCAAATATTTTCTTGATGCAAGAAAGCATTTCTCAGAGGAGTTAACAAACTTGAAGTAAGGATAGCCTAAATGATGCTTTATTCAGAATACTTGGAACTAACAGTAGCATGCTTCCTTCCTCAGGCCATGTAAAAGTACCAGAAGAGCTGAAGTTCCCTAATGCCTGCTGTGTGGGAATTGCATCGCAGACAGCTCTTAGCATTTTTAATCCAACTGAGCGGTGGCTGCAGGTCAGCATTGGAATACTCAGTATATCAGTCAATGGGGAAAAAGTAAGTATTTTTCAATACACTTATAAGCATAAAGCAGTAACCTTATCAGATGTCATACTGTAAAACAGTAGCCTTCTTTAGAGAGTTGTAAGTTCTTCCCAGTTTATAGTTAATATAAACAAAAGCAGTAGTACCTCTCTTAGGCAGGCCTCTTGGTTTATTCCAGTGAGTAGGAATAGTAAGTGTAAGTATCTCAGGATAAGATTGACTTGAAAATTTATCTTGTGTGCATAAATTCTGGTAGGTTTGAGATCACTGCTTATTAATTCCTACCTTTCAAATATAGTAAATATTGCAGTTCCCATGTTAATCTGTTACTAGATTCTGGACAGAAGCCCCAGTAACTTTCAGGCTGACCTATCAACCCTTTAACTCTTTAGATTTAAAGCAAATGCCTACAGTTGAGTCAAATGAAAGTGGGGCATAAAAATGTTGATGCAATAAATGTGGTATTTTGAATGAAGCTGTCCTCTAACAAAAAGTTTGTTGAAGTTGATGTTGATTTTGCTTTTCAGGTGGATCCTGCAAAATATCAGTGTCTCGTGTTCAAGAACAAAACGATTGTAGGACCCCATTCTACTGATGACCTGAAAATACTTTTCTTACCTTGTCATTCAGGGATCTTCCAGTGTATTCTCAGTGTTTCATCTTGGCCACTTTCTGCAGATGCTGAGACAGTTGTTCAGGCAGAAGCATTGGCAAGTAGGGTAGTTCTGACAGCAGTTGCTGAAAATCCTGTTTTAGAAGTAAGTAGCTACTACTTGTGTGGTTTTTGTTGTTTTTTTTTTTGTTTGTTTTTAATTGGAATTCTGTGAATAATTTAATGATAGTGAAAAAGAGTGCGAATAAAGACTGCTCCTCATGGGAACCTGGAATTTCTTATGTTTGGAATGAATAGGGAATGTAAGGGTGTATATATGTATATTAAAAGCTTAAACAAAGGAAGTTTTAATTGTGGAAGAGCACGTAGCTGGATATGAAAAATTATTGAGCAACTCTCTGAAAATAATAAATGTCTCATTATTAAAAGAATGGATGAGTTTTTTAACATAAAATGCTTTCTCAGAATTCTGGATATCACAGCATTAAAATATAGTAAAAAGCATTTCCAATTGTAAGGATTTTTTAAAAATCACATGGCATAGGTTTTGTCCTGTTTTATTCCTTTGAGCTCATTTATTGTTGCAGAGAGTATTTCCGTTCAGACTAATTGGTAATTAAAAGTGGATGGATGGAATACTTTGTCTGTCTTCTGTCTTATGAAGAGCAAGTGGATGGGAGACAGTGTGGTAGTTGTTCCAAGAATTAAATTTGGATTTATGTGGTTGTGAATTTATGAGTCTGGTTGAGCAGAAATGTGCATAATGTTACTTCTGGAGATGTCTCAGCAAATTACATTCTTGTCCGTGGCCTTGCTGACAAAAGTCAAATTTTCCAGTGTTGACCACAGCTTATAAACCTTTATTTTGGCCATAAGCTGCTCTGTTAACCTTCTTGGCTAAACTGTATATTTTAAAGTAATTTTAGTGCTCCTTTATTCCAGTATATGTGTGTAGGTGTAATACTTCTGTACTTTTTCCATAAGTTTGAATTTAAATGATTTTTCATCAGTAGTTGGACAAAATCCATCACTGTCGGTGTTCTTCATGATGTGGCTTCTTGAAAGTTGCTTCATCTTTAAATTAAAAGTAAATTCTCCAGTTTCCCTACGCATCTTGTTACACTACCGAGACTGGATAATGTGCCAAATAGAAGTGGTATTTTCTTTCAGATCACTGAAAGAAAAGTATTTTGTTATACTAACAAAATTAGCACTTCAGATGTTTTTCTACAGTTTATCTAGCTATAATGTTATAGGTGGCACATTCTTCTTGCTAGCAGTAATGATAGTTTAAATTTGTTTCATGCTTATGTCATACTAACCAAAATAACCTGACTATGTAATGGATTTTGGTGGGTAAATATTGCACTAGTGTTGACTTAAATGATGAGACAATACACGTGTGCAAAAGCCAACTGGGTATATGCACTTTAGAAATCCGAGCAAATGTTGTGTAGATACAACTACCCCCCTGGTAGACGGTGTGTGTTCTATGCTGGTATGGCATTACAGAAATAATGCTTCCTGCTGCTTTTGTATTCTAGTTCATTTTTGAGGTTTTCTTTCCTTAAAAGTTCTGCTTTGTCTTAAAACCAGGTGGAAACAGGAGAACAAGATTATCTGGATTTTGGTGACTTGACTTCTGGCAGTTGGAAGGCTCTTCCGTTAAAAATTATCAACAAAACCCATGCTTTTGTGCCAATTAGACTTATTATTAATGCAGTAAGTACAGTAGAATTCCTGTATGTAAAAGCTAACTTCTTGTGATGCTTAAAATTTTAATACAAATGAATTTTAATACAAAACACTGCTATTTTACTAAAATGTACCCTTGACTCTGGATGTAAAATTCCCAAGAAGTGTCTCAGGTTAGTCAGGAAGTACACATTTTTGCTGACTGGTGATCTGATTCAGCTGTAATGGTACCAATGAAAGTGCTTCTGGGACAATTGCACCTTGTCCTGCCTTTCATTTCAGTCAGTCCAGCTGCGGTCTGCTGCCCCTGTGTTGCCTGATTTGAGACAGTAAGGCAGCAGACAGCAGAAAGGTTTATGATGCCTAAACCTTCCCTCTGGAAAGTTGAAGATGGATTGCACTATTCTAGTGGAATGTGTGCTTTTCTAACAGTTGACTATTCAAATAAGCAGCCTTGCTTCACTGGATCACAGAATGGCCAAGTTTGGAAGGGACCTCAAAGATCATGAATTTCCAGCCCCCCTGCCACATGCAGGGCCACCAACCTCCCCGTTTAATACTAGACCAGGCTGCCCAGGGCCCCATCCAACCTGGCCTTGAACACCTTTAGGGAGAGGGCATCCATAACCTCTCTGGGCAGCCTGTTCCAGCACCTCACCACTCTCATAGCAAAGAACTTGCTTCATAGAAAGTTTAATGAGTTCTGTCTTCCTTTGCTGGAGGAAGAGCAGATCTGTTTCTGCTTTGTCTCCCACTAGGCAGTAATACCCTCTGTAACTTGCTACATTATGCTCCTATTTGCATCTCTGTGGCAGTACAGATTTTGGGTTAGTGTCTAGGCTTGCTGCTGTTTGCTGTGGGAAAAGTTTTTTCTTTTCCTCCTTTTGTATGGGGACAAGAGAGAAAGGTCTGGCTTTGTGTTAAGGCTGTGGGTTATCATCTCAGTTACTAGTAAGATTTAGTCTTGCACAGCCCAACCGGTTTAAGCCTTCTGCTTACCACTTCCAGCTCAATTCCTTCTATTACAGAGGATATCTAACAATTTTTAGAGGGTTTTCTGCACTATGACATACCAGCTGAGATTACAGGCTAATTTTTTATTTTTTTTCCAGACTAAATTGCTTAGAGATAGCCTTGCATTTGTCAGCTTTGTCAGTTTTGTTTCAGTAGGTATTTTAATACTTTAAAAATCTCTATTTTGTGGACAGAATGCAGTAGCTTGGCGTTGCTTCACGTTTTCCAAGGAACCAATTAATTCTTCTAATGAGCAATCACTCCAAATGGATACAGTTTCTCAGGTAGCAGCTCCATCTGTTGTAAATCATGTGATCCATGCAAGCTATGATGGACAAGTGAGTAGTTGGAGTTTACTGATTCTTTCTGTTACTTACTGTCTGAAATGTGTTCTGATTATCTGAATTCACAGTAATGTTTTTTGTAATCTGTTTTTTTTGTTTTTTTTGTTTTTTTTGCTTTATTTTTTCTCTAGTAATTCTGTTCATTCTGTAAGATGAATCAACCAATTTCTTTTTCAGGATCCTGAGGTTTTAACAGTTTGGGTTCTGTTCCATGCACCTAAGAAACAAATTTCTTGTTCAGGTATAGCAATTTGAATTTCATTTCAGTTTAAAAAAAAAAAAAAAAAAAGCTTCTAACGTATACGTGTGTTAGAATTTTAGGAACAGGCTGCAAATTTGAATTGAAACATTCTGTCTTTGTCTTGTATGTCCTGATGTTTCCATTGCTCAACTTCTTGTTCAGTTTTAGTTCCTGAAGGAGATGGTATGCTTCTGTGTCTTAATGTTTTAGGCATTAATGGGTTATTTACGCTACGGTAGCAGACTGTACAAAGTGGTTATTTATTGCAAAATAAGTGGAATGTGCTCTACTCCTTTTACTGAGGTTCTGTGAGACTTGGATTGTACGTGTGTGTATGTGACTTCTAGCAGACTTGCTTAGTTTCTTCATTCGTGGACTTGTCCCTAGATGCCTTGGGTCCAGCAGAGGAATTCTTGGCAAGAGTTGATGTGGAAGTGGATAGCCCAGGACCTAGTAGTGTGATTGAAAGTATTCCTCTCCGAGCAAGAGCTGGAACAGCCAGGATTCATGCTCCAAAGGACTTACAGGTTTGCATGTATTTACAGAGTATGTTTTAAGAACAGTTTGCCTCTCCTAGTCTGCTTGTGGTAACATGTTTGTATTTAGAATATAGATGTGTGCATGCATAGATTGACACTTATTTCCTTTTTCCAGACAATACATCTGTCTGCTAGTGTGGGTTCAACAGCCAAACAACAACTGCCATTGAAGAATGCTGGAAACATTGGTGTAAATCTGAAACTTAAGGTAGGCTGGCTTTTCCATCTTGAAATCATGTTTTGTGCTGTTAACCTATTTGGAAAAAAACAAGCTAGGGCTAAGCCTTGGGATCCTTGCTTAAATGTGGTTTGACAGAAAAGTTTTCAAGTTTACGTAGAGAATGAAAAATAGCCAGAATTTAGCTCGTATAAGTGGGAAAAAAAAGGTGAGAATTTTGTTTGTTGAATTTGCTTCAGTTTATTTGTTACAACAAATATATTTTTATTTACATAGATTTTAACAGACTTCTTAAAAGTAGAATCCTGAGCTACATAGCGGATGTTATTTAGCTGATGATGTGAAGTACATTTAGATTAAAGAGGAATTTAAGCACCGGTAAACATTTACAATTTCTAAAAATGCTGTATTTGTTTTCTATGGACAACTTGCCAAGTCAAGTACAAAACTAAGTTATTTTCAGAGAATCTGGGGAACGTATAGACCCAGATTGAAAGGTAACTAGACTCACTGTAACTAGCACTTTGAGGTTAAAGGAAGGGGTGATTGGTCTCATTTTACAGCTAGATATCTCACACTGTCTTACATCTGGATTTTTCACATTGCTGAACCTCTGGGTGAGAACTGGGGGAGCAAATTCCTATGCAATATAAGGGCAGAGTGAGTCTGAGACTATACATGAGACTGAATATAAGGTATTCCCAGTTATGTATAAAAACTGGGAGAAGAACTTGTGAGTAGCCCTGCTGAGAAGGGCTTAAGGATCCTGGTTGATGAAAAACTGAACTTGAGCCAGCAGAGTGCGCTTGCTGCATGGAAGGCTGATGGTATCCTGGGTTCCATCAGAAGAGAGGTGGCCAGCAGGGTGAGAGAGATGATTGTTCTCTATTCTGCCCGTGGGAGGCTCCAGCTGAAACACTGTGTCCCACATCTGGGGTACCCAACAAAGGAAAGACGTGGGGCTTTAAGAGAGGGGTGGCCATGAAGATAATCCAGGGACTGGATGAAGATGGGCTAGAATGAAGATGGGCTGAAGGAACTGGGCTTGTTTTAGCTTGGTAAAGAGGAGGCTGCAGGGATACCTAATTGCAGCCTTTCAGTATTTAAAGGTAGCTTATAAACAGGAGAGAAATAAACTTTTTACGTGGGTAGATAGTGATAGGACAACGTGGAATGGTTTTAAACTAAAAGAAGGGAGATTTGGGTTAGATACTGAGGAAGGTTTTTTAGTGAGAGAGTGGTGAGGTGCTGGAGCAGGCTGCCTTGAAAGGTTGCGGATGCCCTGGCCCTGGAGATTTTCAAAGCCAGGCTGGATGATGCCTTGGGCAGCCTGATCTGATAATTATCTAGCAGCTTGCAACCTTGTCTGTGGCAGGGAGATGATGGGGGGGAGGGAGGATGGGAGAGGGCAGGGCTTAGAACTTGATCCTTGTCCCAACTCAAGCCATTCTGTGATTCTGTGATGGTGAGGTCTGTTTACAAATATGCAAAAAAGTAGGGTTGTGACTACATCATTTCTCAGACTGGAAGCCATGGAGATTGTGACGTTAGTCATGCATCCTAATGTTATATTAATGCAATGATATGAGTAATGGTTGGTAACACGTGAGGAGATCAGTGATGCTGCTTTGATAGTGGTGTATCATTGCTCTGTCTCATTTCTTTGAATCTCATTCAGTGTTGTATATACAGTTGATGTCTTAAGATGTCTTCTGTTGGAGGGTATAGTATAAGTATCTCTAACTGTGGAAGAATTTGGCTAGAGCACAATTATGTGAAAAAGTTTTGAACTTGACAGGTGTATTTATGTTGTCTGAAGCTGTAAGTACAACAGATAGATAGCCAGCTTTTATTATATGTTGTAGAAATAATGACTTCCTCAAATAACCAACACTTTTTCCCCCGCCTGCACACATGCACCGTCAGATATCAGGACAGGACAGTTGCTTCTCTGTTGAACCTGATGATCTCTTCCTTCTTCCTGGAGAAGAACGAGAAGTGATTGTGAATTTTTCTCCAAAAAATGTAGCGTCTACTCAAAGGTGATGTAACTATTTTGAACAGTACTTTTCAACATTAAGGTCATCAACAAATGTGAAAGTTTTTATCCATGAGAGAGTTGTTTCAACTTCTGTTGCTTTCTTGAGTCCTAGACTTCTACTGATTCAACTGTTCCATAGATTTCCTGCCTCATTTTCTCTACGTAACTTAATGAGTTGCTGTTTCTTTTCCTGTCACAAATCAGCAGAGATCTTATAGCTTACTTCTAAGCTACAATAAAGTTTTCAAGTATTTACCTTTAGCAGCCATTGTAGTTGCTTCTTCACCCCACTGAGACAAGGGAAATATTCTTTTTCTTTCTTTTTACAAATGAAAACCTGAAGCTCAGACCAGGATCAGTTTAATTAATTCATTTTGGCTACCATAACTGAGGTTAGTATGTGAATCTTCACTAAAAATAATGTGTATGTTTCATTCATAGAGATATGCACTCATATATTTTGCACGTTAATTAGCTGATCTATATGAAATAGCCAAATGGCTCGAAGGATTTAAATTTTGTCATGCTTAAAGCTGGTCTTTGCTATAATATAGAGTGTATTCCCTTTAAGAAGGTACTTTTAAAAGACCCGTCTGTAACTTTTTTCCAGTTATGTTTTGTTTTCATTAGCTGTTCTTGTTCTATGCTGGGATTAAAATCTACATATTTATTTTTTTAAGTGTTTTGAAAATCCTTGTGTTGCCATCTGGGCCTCAGTATGAAGTGGTGATAAAAGGTGAGATGGAATCAGTGGGAAATAGACCTGTGTTTACAGCTGCTGCAGATATTCCACCTATTCTCTCCAACAAGCAGTTCATCGCCTGGGGAGGAGTAAAGCTTGGAGAATCAGTGTAAGTAGCAGTTCGTATAGAATATTATTCCTGAATTAATCTATTTGAATTTGATTACGTTTTGATGTTGAAACTACTAGTGATAGAGAATCCATTGCATCTCTACAATAGCTTATCATTCAGACTAGTTCTTGTCTGAATTTTTTAGTTTCAAGATTCCAGCTTTGCTGTTAATTACTGTTGAGATATACTTCACTGCTGCTTTAGTATGTCAAGATTGCAAGTTTTGAAGTTCTTTGGACTTGTCGTATTGCTCTGGGGACAAATCTGCTATTGTTCTGATACTGAACTTCTGGAGGAATGTAGTGATGCTTCGGGTTATCACTTGAGATTGATCCACATTTGTAACCAAGAATCACTTCTGATAGCTATGTTGCCATTTCTCTGTTTTGTCAATATAACTTATTTTGAAAATAGCAGTCTTGGATGTTTGGGGATGACTTTCTTGACCCTTTATTTCCTGTTTACTCTGAAAAGTAGTTTTGACTCACCAAAGCCTACCAGGAAATTTAATTCTTTTTATGTTTTTTTTGTTTCAATGCAGTATAGCAGTGTCTGCTGCTGAAAGCTGGGAAGAATTGTTCTCTCTCTGTGTTTGTTTGCAGTAGCTGTTTGATGTTCCTTCATTGCTTTTTATGAGTTTTAGGGCTTGTCAGATTGTTTTGTTGTTGGCTTCTGCCTCGCTAAAATGGAAAAGGTAGTAGCTGTTCTTACTGGAGAACTTTCTTACCTCTCTTGAAGGCCAATCTGAGTAGCAGATATCTGGTCTATATCAGGACATATCAAAGAGGTGGGGGGAAGAATACTTTTTAATCAACCTGATGCTGCCAAAGGCTCTTTGTGGTGTAATTATGTTGAAAAGTATATGAAAATATTAGCCTTAATTTAGTTCTCTGCCACTGTTCCAATGGATCTGGGTCATGGTATTTACAAGATTGCTTCTTCATAACTGAGTGTTTCTGGATAATCTAATTGCATCTGTCTTAGTTGTTTGTTTTTATTGACAGAATTTTAGTATTGACAAAACTGCTGTGTTAAGAGAAAGTAATGTATTTATAGCTCTTCTGCTGTATGAAAACTGATGTTATATAATACTGTAAGATCTGTAAGTTTGAGAATACAGTAATAACTTTCTACTTGAAAGTTGTACTGGAGGCATTTTTTTTTCATGAAGTGACTTAAATTTTCCTATTTCCATTGCTCACATGAATAAATATGTATAGCTGATTAATGTTTGCTGCAAAATATAACTGAACTTCATATTTTTTCAGCCAACAGAAGTTAACTTTAAGAAATAACTCTCCATCTGTGACTCAGCATTTAAGACTGGTGATAAGAGGTCAGGATCAGGACTGTTTTCAGGTGACTGTAAATTTCTCTTTATCATTTATGACATCAGGATAATATAAAAATGTCAGAATTTGTCTCGCTTTTAGCACATCCTTAGTGGTGAATGAGCCAGATAAGAAACCATGCTGTAGAAGACCTGTGCAAATTAAATTAATCGCAGAATGAATTCTGAATTTGGTATTTTGGATTAGCAGCTCACTATATTTTTTTATTTTTTTTTTTAGTCCAGGTGAATTAAATGAGGTTAGAAATTAAATGTTTAGCTATGCTCAGTGGAATGGCAAAATTTAAAATATTTTTTCCACTTTGCATAGAATTTCATGTGTACCTTCATGCAGTAAGCATGTAATTTTCTGCCTATTTTCTCAACAAAATATTTTGGGTCATCGTATGGTCTTGTATTGTACTGATGAGGATTTTGTTAACTCTTCTGGTTTTCTCTGGTTGTCATGTCCCATGTGCTAACCTTTGTACCATGTCTGTGTATCGAAGGACTGAAGCTGTGTACAATTTCACTTGTCATGTGAAGTCATACCAGCCATGAATTAGGCAGTGATAGTCCTCTTCAGATTATGTTTTTCAGGTCAAGGATGGTTCTGAAGCACCCAGTAAATTCTGTCGTTGCTCTTGATCAGGCAGTTGACATAACTCTTTGTATCTTTGACATAACTCATTTGTATCTTTGCCTGTTTGATTGAAGGTGGTGGAGGTCAAAAACAGTGGTGTTGCGCTTTCTGCCCAGGCTCTGTTAGATCTTGGCACTGAGGTGGAGGACCTTGCCCATCTTTGTCTTGGTTTGATTATGCATAAGTAGAGATGAGTCAGGCATATGTTGAAGTGTTGATGGACTTGTGCTGCAGCTTGGATAGATGCGATATCGTCAAAGTGCCAAATAGGTTTTGAGATCTAGACTTCTCACAAAAGAGAACATTAGTAACTGTATGTAATAGTGCATTAGATGCCATGGTTGTTGTATGGAATTTTAGACATTAGAATCTGATTTTTGTTTTTTTAATTCTTGGTGTTTCTCTTGTGCTTATCAGAAAATTCAACTTGCATTTATTTACTGGTTGATCTGTAGCCTTTGAAAGGTGGCTGGTTTTCTCTGGGTCGTTGACAAGCTTGTGACTGTTTCTAACAATCTGAGAGGCTTTTAACCAATACGGCTAAAGTTCCCTCACTCTTCAGTGAAGGTGATCTGGACAGAATTGTTTGGTAGGTTGTTTCCTTTAAAACCAGAAAGCTAGCTTATGGTACTACAATTTGTGTGCCTTATTCTTTACTAACGCAGTAGGCTTAACACAGTAGGCTTAACATAGTAGGCATAGTAGGCTTGGTTAAGGGAATGTCTGGCAGTTGTTACAGGTAGCCTGGGAATCTGTTGACTGGTAAAGACAGTAAAAGAATTAACATTCTAAATAGAAAGCTATCTTCCAGTTTTACTCCTACCTAGTGTCAACAATTGCATATTATTCCTCCCTACCTGTATTTTTTCTCAAGAATGCTTGAACTTGCTAAGTAGTTTAACACTTATTATGGCTGAGATGTGGTTTCTTAATTAATGAGTTCATACTTCTGTCTGGTGTACCTCTTCATTCTTCTTGAGTGTCTATTACGATGAGACTACTTGGAATCACAAAATCATTAAGGTTGGAGAGGAGCAAATGGCTGTTACCCAGAAAGGAGTATTAGGATACCTGTTTCTGACTACCTGAAGCTTGTGAAGGAGCTGCTTAAACTGTTCTCACTTTCAAAAGTTGAGGTCTCCCAGCTCAATCTAAAGCTTGTGTTTAGTGCTTCCATGGGCTGTGTTTTCTCTGTGGCTGCCTAGAGGAACATGGTAGTGAAGCTATACTGATAACCTTCCAGCTGAAATCATAACAGCATTGCAACAGATTGGAGCTCAGTTTGCAGCTCTTCAAACTGCTGCAGTACAACAGACTCAATACTGGGTAGAATGGTCCTATTGCTGGTGCTTTTTCCAGGAGTGATTCAAGATCTTACTTCAAGGAACTGTGTATGTAGGAAGGAAGAAGGAAGAACTGGAATCAGCTTTTGGAGTTTCCATGATGACAGTTTTGTTATACAAATTCGTTATACAAATACAGGTTTATAGCCCTTCTTCCTCAGCTATTCAGATCTGCTCTGTAAAATCTTCAAATGAGGAAGAATTAATGTAGCATTATGAACTTCAGCTTCATGCACTGTATTAGGGTTTGAACCCAAAAAGTTCCGTTGTCTGAAGTGAGAGCTCGCTGTCAGTGAACTTAGTTTTTCTGTTCTATGTTAAGCATTACAGCCTTTAATATCTGCCACCGTTGATTACCTACCCCAGATTTTGAAGTTTGTTTTGGTTTGGTAGTGAAATAAGTCTTATTAATTATTTTTCTCACTGTAGTCACTCATTTATTGTATCTTTTTTTCTGTAGCTGCAAAGTATATTTGGATCAGAAGAACGTTTAACTAGTAACTGGGAACTCAAAATCCGTCCCAAAGAAGACACTAACATATACTTGATGTTTACACCTACTCGAGTAACTTTCTTCTTTGCAAAGCTGGAAATCAAACAGCTGGGAATTAGATCACAGCCAGGAATTAAGTTTACTGTAAGAGTCCTAATGTAATTTTTGATAATATTAAACATAAATTTTTCTTGATTGTTAAAAGTCTGTTGTTTCTGTCAAAAAGTTGAAACTTCTGGAGATATCCACTGTGTCTATTTGCATACTGCAAAGGGAATATGGGTATTGAATTTTGGTTTAAGTAGCCTTAACTTTGGTATGTACTTCATTCCTATTGTGTAGAATGAAGAAATGGTTTATGTACCTTTTAAAAAGTAGCCTGTTTTTAACTGTAGTTCTGTTTAAAAAAAAAAAAATATATATATATATATATGTATATATGTATATATAAAATATATATATATATGTAGTGTTGTTGAATGTTGTGATTTTACTGAAGTTTAGTGAGAAGGCATTCATTTGAAATACTGTTGTTTTTTGTTTGTTTTTCCCAGATACCTTTATCTGGATACGGAGGAACCAGCAATATAATTTTAGAGAGCGTTAAAAAACTGTCAGACAGCTACACGTTAACACTGGATGGATTATTGCCTTCAAGATTAAAGAGAGTTTCTTTCTGCGTGAGAAATACAGGTTCTCGTGCTGCGTATGTGAAAGCACTGTGCTTTGCCAACCTACAGACAAAAACAGTTGTAGACCCTCAAGTAATGACAGTATCTCCAGAGAAGTTCATACTTACAGAAGGAGCACATGAAGTAAGCATATTGCCTGATTATGAACGAGTTGTATTGATTAAAATGTGCTTAATGAAAGCATCCCACTCGTTCCTCATTGAAATCTCATCTAACTTTTTAAAATTTCACTTAATTTTCCAAACATTAGTACTAAAACGAAGATTTTTTTCCCAAATGTTGTCTGTTTATTTTATCAGATGATTACAGTAACGTGGAATCCCATGGAAAAGGAAAGGAACTTTCTTAAACCGAAGACATTGTTATCAACAATATGTTTCTTTTGTGGTGATGAAATTTCCAGGCAGCGATACCGTAGGTGAGATGTCCTTTGCTATTGTTATATAGCCATATATTCCACAAAATGTTAAAACTGAAAGTCTATGCTGCCGTGGTTTTAGTGTGCTTCCAGGAATGGCAAGCACAATACGAGAAACCTAGATGATAAGGACAGATGTGGTAAGTCTTACGTCTGATATTTGTTTATTTAAAGGTGGCTGCTTATGGTGGCTTGATTTATTTATTTATTTTTTTTCTTTAATGTTTAGTTTACATACTGTAGCTGCAATTCTAGTTAAGGATTTTGTTCTTTTTATATTCTTGAGTGTGAACGTGTTGGTTTTTGTGGATGGATTTTGTTTTTTGTGTGTGTATGTGTGTGTATATCAGACATGTATGTCTTCTGTTTTACTATCTTCTGTCTTTTCCCAATGCATGAGTAACTTTAATTCTTTTTTAGTAAAATACTCTTGAAAGGAGTAGTACTAAAATTCAGTAAATTCAGTTTTGATTGAGATAAGCATCTTGATTTGGTGAATGATATGAAGAAAGGCAGCATGCGAGTGAATGTGTATGTGAGAAAAATAACATCCACGCAGAGATGATGTGGAACTTTTTGGAGAGGTTCCAGAGGAGGGCCACAAAAATGATCCAGGGACTGGAACACCTCTCCTATGAAGACAGGCTGAAGGAACTGGGCTGTTCAGTCTGGAGAAGAGAAGGCTTTAGGGGGTGTCATTACAGCCTTCCAATACTTAAAGGGAACAGGAGGGAAATCCAGATTTTTACATGGGTAGATAGTGGTAGGACAAGGGGGAATGATTTTGAAGTAAAGGAGAGGAGATGAGAAGGTTATCTCTGTGTGGATGGTGAGGTGCTGCAACTGGCTGCCCAGAGAAGCTGTGGGTGATTTGTTCCAGGAAGTTTTGAAAGCCAAGCTGGATATGGCCCTGGGCAGTCTGATCTAATGCTTGATTTATTGATTGGCAGCTCTGCCCATGGGATAGGGACTGGAACTTAATGGTCTTTGACGTCCCTTCTAATCCAAGCTATTCTGTGAAACCTGTAGAATATCTCACCAAGCTTCAGTAGATGCTGTATTTATATTTTAATTTGTATAATAAATGCATAAAAATATAATGGTGTGTTCTGCTTTCAATGACATAAGTGTCTGTGCACAGCATGCGATCATCATACAAAATGCTGACAGCAGACAGAATACTAAGGAGTCAATGATCACAGAGTTACCAAGGTTGGAAAAGACCTACAAGATCATCTAGCCCAACCATCCACCGATCACCAGTAGTTCTCACTAAATGTTTGGACGTTGTGTTGAGGGACACGGTTTAGTGAGAGCTATTGGTGGTCGGTGGATGGTTGGGCTGGATGATCTTGAAGGTCATTTCCACTTTGGTGATTTTTGTGATTTTGTTCTTTGAACACCTTCAGGGTCGGTGACTCCACCACCTCTCCGGGCAGCACCATGCGATGTAAAGCTTCTTTCTGTGAATGAGGAATCTTTCACTGTTACCTGAAGCCATACTGAAGTCATTGTACCTATTGTTATCCAAATAAAGTATTAAAACTAGTAGAATTTAACCATTGGACTTGGAATAAAAAGCTCATATTATATAGCTGCGTGTCTGATAATCTTATCAACAATTCAGCCTGTCAGATATTTCAGAAATGGTAAAAGTTAGTGATGGTAGATAATTATCATCTCGCTCATTTCTTCTGATCCATGTTTTTAATGCTGTGAGTAATTCAGTGACTGTTTTTTCATCTCTAACAGAGCTATGATGTGTGAACTTGAGGTAGTAAAACCCATAGTCCCAGAAAACAGTTTATTGAGAAACATTGTATTTGATGAAGAGTTTCAAGGGGAGCAGCTTGTGACAGAAGGTAGGCCTATTAACTTTTAAAAGATGTAATACTTGTATTAGGGTGGGGAAAAATGCGTTTTAGACTTAAATCCTGGTTCTTTTTTCTTTATTTTTGATAAAAAACGGAATGAAAATTCATCCCTTTTACTCAAAACACATAAAAACTGTTTACTTCTTTTTTTTCCTATCAAAATGCAACCTAAATTAATGAATATTATGACATTAAAATTGTCAGGTTTAGTGGAAGATATGTTAAAACTTGAGAAAGAGACTCAGTGTTTCGCTTCATTGAAAGTGTCAGGTTTTACTGGAGATATATATTCTATATTTGAAGATTTAGCAATTAACTTTGCAGATATTAAAAGTTGTATTTCCCTCCCCAAGTTAAATAACATCACAGGCTGAAGTAAAAAAGAGCAGAATATATTGTAAAGGTATCCTCCAAATAAAAAAATTGTCCTTTAACAGAAACATTCTTATGACAGCATAAGAAATAGAGTTTTACTAGTTTGATTTACACATGGAAAGAATTCAGTGTTATAATGCCACTACGCTTGAGTGAAAGTTGTAGCCTGATTCTGTCCCGATAGATTTTTATACTGTTTTTACTTGGAAAAGTGATTGATCACCTTGGCTGAGGTAAGATCGTAGGGAATATAAGAAACTTGAGTGTGCTCTAAAGTTGTTTACTTGGTATAAGAGGGTATAAGAGAGCTGAGATGACTTCTATTAATAAGATTATCAGAGATAGTCTTGCTAGTAGTAGTTTAATTTTCTTTTTCTTTCTGTGGAAAACAAGGCATCTTAGTGGCTGTCAAATACAGGCTTATTTTCTTTCCTTTTTGAGCACAGTCCTTTTACTTAGCAGGACTTATTTGTCCTGCAAGTAAAAGATCCTTAGCATTCTATTCAGTATTTTCTGTACTGAATAAATATATGTATTGAGGAGAAGATTGGTATTATTAAAAACAAACAACAAATAATGATGGACTTACATAACACTGCTAATAAGCCTTTAACGGGGAGTTGAGAAAGTTGCTTTGAAGAAGTAAACACTGATACAGACTTAAAGCCCTTCATTACCTCCTTGTCACTCCAAAATTATACACTGACATTAGTGTTTGAAATGGTGTTGTCAGTTTTTCACCAGCCTACTTGCTTGTTGCAGCAGCGTGCTGCACAATGGAATATGCAATTAGACTTGACAATCAGCATGCATGTCTATAAGAGTATGAATTTCACAGCATTCCTGAGTTTCATTATTGTGAGGGCATTCATCTGTCTTATCCCAAGCTGAAGTGTACATGCTGTGTACAAGCATTAATAATTTACCCCAAAATTTTCTATGCAGCAGAAGCAAGAATGGATCCAATGCATCCTGTGTGAGAAGCGCTCACTTTCTCGTTCTGTCAATTCTACATGAAGTTGCTTAAAGTACGAGTAGTAAACTTGGACTAAATTATTAAACGTTTTGAGGAAACAATTATTTTTAAGTCTTGTCAGGGTAAATAAATTAAACTTGACTTTAATTGGACATAAAATCAAACTAATGTGTGTGTTTTACATAAAGGTGGAAAATAACATATAATTCAAAGCAAAAAATTTGTTAATGTTGATTTATGCCTGATGATAATTTTCATAAGCTGTTTTTGGAATTATCCATTATTCTTAACCAAAAGGTTAAATAGGAGCATATCCAAAATCTCTGTTGTGCGATTTCTGAGTATGATTCTTTTGTTCTTAGTGGAGTTGCTCTGTTACTCTTTCAGTGTGCGATATCCCACGAGGGACGAATGATATCCGTCTTTTCTATGCAAATATGCGAAAAATTATCCTCACCGTGGTTGGATACTTTGTTGTGAATCGGGATGTTCTTCAGCAATCTCCTGGATGTCATCTGGAATCAAACCGGTAACGTAGAAGAGTAACTGTTGGATAATGCTTAAGTGCGACTCCGTTTATCTAAAATCGTCTAAAGCCAGGTTTAGGAAGAAATTTGTTATTCAAAGGGTGATGAGATACTGGCACAGCTGCCCAGAGAGGCTGTGGTGCTCCCATCTCTGGAGGCGTTCAGGGTCAGGCTGGATGGGATCCTGGGCGGCAGGCTGATCTAGTGGATGGCAACCCTGCCCATGGCAGGGAGCTTGGAACTCAGTGACTTTTAACATCCTCTCCAGCCTAAGCCATTCTATGATGTAGCTGCTGACTTTTTTTTTTTTTTATAATGATGAATTAAATTGAAAGTCCTCATGAACAACATTATATTTCAGTGTTAAAATTTAAGAGATATTAAGAGTAAACTATTATAAATACTTCTATGCTATCTTCATTACTACTTTTGCTTAATGCAGTCTTACTTCCAGATCTGAGAATGCTGCAAGACTTATCAATGCAACATTGGATGTTCTTCCTGTTAAAGGGCCTCAGGGTCCTCCATTACCTGTGAAAACCAATGATGAAGTCCAGAATAAAGTAGATGCTCAACAGACTTGGACTGTTAAGCCTGAACACTTGATTTTGTTACCTCCTTCTATTAGTAAGTATTTTCTTCATTTAATAACTTAATCATTTTAGTATTAAAATAACTTCTACTTATATTCAAAATTCTCTTACTTTCGTAAGTGTGACTTGACCAATAATCTTGCTGCAATAGTATTGCACCTAAGCAATAAACCTGACTTGAACAGAGTTTTGGTTAAATTGTGAGTGTTAAGGGGCTGTATGTGTTTGTATATTTATAATATGCACTACATAATTATGTATATTTTAAAGTCCTGGGAATTTTGATTAAAAAAAAATAGAGCAGAAAATGCTTTATCTTACTTGGTGCGTCTCTGACTCTTGATCACTTTTGTGCATTTTTGTACTTGTTAGCTTTTTATAGCTTTTTTTGTGATTTAGGTGGAACAGCTGATACTGGACATGTACAAATTGTCAACAATTCTAGTAGGATGCTGACGTTTGAGCTTTCGTGGCCAGCTCACTGCCTTACTATAACCCCACAACATGGAGTTATTGAACCAGAGTAAGTTTCTTTACATAGATTCCTTTTTTTTATATACAAGCGTGGTGAGATTTTAGAGCAACTTATTATAGTCTGTTCTAGGGTACAGTCATCTACTCTACTGGCATGTAAAGCTAACCTTACTTATTTGACTTTATCCTTCATAATTTTTTTTACAGGGAATGTTTTTTCTGTTGTACGCAAAGTTACCTGCAGACCAGGAGTTTTCTGTTCTTCGATATGTTGTTACTCTTGTATAATTTTCCAGGTCAATAAAACTGAAATTTTAAAAAAAAAAAAAAAAAAAAAAAAAGTCCTTTCACAGTATTTTTTTTTTTTTTTAATTTGAATGACCTATGTATTTAAAACAGGATATTTCTTTGATTCGGTTATATGCTGATATTTATCAGCACTTGATTCATTATGTATTGACAGAATCGTTTTTTGTTGCTTAACCTGTGGCTTCTCAGTATTTGTTAGTATGAAATGGCAAGTCAACATCAGATCATCTCTACCTTATCTAGCAGTATTTTGGAGCAGTCTTTGTACCGTCACTGCTTGTGTGGACTCTTAACAGATGTCAACAAAAAAACACTTTACCACTTCTCATTTCTGAATTAAAATTAAGGTAAATTCAGAAATACTCTTAAAGAATTAAGCAACTATCTTATCTTTAGATGTTTACACAAAGCAGAGGCTTTCTTTTTAGTCCTGCGTCACTGTTTGAGGTATGGACTTCAACATTTAATTTGATACTCAATTAAATTTAAATTTTTCAGTCAGAAAAAAAAAATCAAGATGATTCTGTGCAGGGGTTAGAATATCTGCAGGGAGTGGCCAATTAAAACAGTGGGAGACCAACATACAATGTGCAATAGCTAATAGCAAGGGTATGTTGAGAATCTTGTACCCTAGACTCAGGACTCTTTCAATTTTTTTTTTTTTAATTGATGGGATCGGTGACAGGCTTGAAGCAACTTTCTTATGTTGCATGATTATATTGTGTTCTTTTCATTAGAAGAGAATGAGCTGTGGCCAAACAGGTTAGGTCCAAAAAGTAGCCTGGATCAAGAACAGAGGCCTGCAAGCAGGAAACAGACCTGTGGGAACAGCTGACTTAAGCATCACAGGTTCTGCTTACATAGTTTTCTACTTTCTATGGCAATCTCCATACCATGACAAGAACAGTCATGGTGTCAGGATGGAAGCCAGGCAGTCTTTTATAGTATGCACTGTGATGGCTGGAGCTGCGTGGAATTCTTGAGCTGATTTAAGCCGTGAAAGGAGAAGCTCCAATTCCTCAGTGATAGTGGAAGTCCTAAAATCAAAGACTGCCTTTGCCACGTCAGAGCCAGTTAGATCATGCAAGCCATCTCCTGTTTCACCTTAACTAAAATCCTTAAATTCCCTGGAATGTGATAGGTGCAACCTTCAACCTGTCTGAATGTGGAATCGTTAAATCATAAGTTCCTGCTGAATTTGATAGCTTTCTAAGAGACTTTTATCATGGAGATGTCTCAGTGTTGGAAGTATTGATAGGTGCTGTCAAAGGAATTGCACTTTTGGAGCCGGGACTGTTGGCATCTGGAAAGATTTGCAAGTGCCTTGTTTAGGAAGTGTCTTGGAGACTTTCCTTCTGAATAAGGTTTGAAGGGCAGTTAGGCAGGATTTGTCTTCCCTAGACTGCTCCATTCCACAGCAGGAAAAGTACCGAGAGATGTTGGTATCTGTAGGTTGGATGTCACCCTTTTGAGACATCTGGGTCATGATTCCATGCAGGTTGGATTTGTATGTGAAGTTGGCAATAAACGTCAGAGTCAGGCTGATAGGGGCAAAGACAGTGAAAGCAGGTAGTAACTGAGAATTTTATGTGTACTAGTAAGTCATGTTCTCACGTACACAGATTTGTATATGTGTGAGAGAGTGGGAGAGCCGTAAGAGTAAAGATTCTGAGTACTGAAATTTTAAAGTAATGGTAATAAGATTTTTAGTCAAAATGGTAAGGTTGAAATGGCTTTGTGTATGTTGGCTTTGTGTCTGTGTAGGTTGGCTGTGCCTATGCAGGACTTCCTCCTAGAGGAAACTGAGATTTCAACGATTCTTTAAGGAAATATTAAAACCCTGAATTAGTATGAGGCTACTGATGCCTGTTAGTTGAAGTGTGTATGAGGTTTTATTCTGAGGATTATTATGGAGCTGACTTTCCTCTGAGGACTGATTTTTGTTCTTACACTGAACTTTTCAAATGCAGTGCTCTGCTAGTGACACTTCAAGCTAATTTTTCTGGGATGATTTGAGTGCTTTCACTCATTAACTGTCCTAACGTAAAATCAGTGTGATTTTTTTGTGCTTTTTTTGAATGCTTCATTGCTTACTTTCTGCCCTCTTTTATGTTGAAATTTTATGATATTGAATACAGAACATTGTAAATCAGACTTACATTCTCACTGGTCAAAGTACTGTCTTATGTTGTAATTGCTTGGAATTAATTTAGTAGACTCCTTGGTGTCCCCTACCTACATAACTATAGAAACCATTGAAAAGTTTTTCTCCAAAATCAGTGGTTCTGAGTGGGAGAAAGGAAAGCATGCAAATTCTTTAAAGCTAGAATTAGTTTTAAAGGTGCAACTTGCGCATACTTTGTTTGAATGGAAGTTTCCTTCTAGAGTATATTTTTTTCTGATTCATGTCGTTCTGTGTTTGCTTTTTGTGACCTGAGAGGTTGTTTCTTAATGCGTATGTCATGCTTTCCCTCTGTACCCTTAAAGAAACATCAATAACAAGTTTATGCAGTAAGTTATTTTTAAGTTTCTAACAACGCGTAATATTTTCAGATACTCACATAATATTTTCAGATACTTACTACTGATATTTGTTTCTAGATCATTTTTGCTTAGCTTAGTCTTAAAAGTCTTAAAAAAGTCTTAAAAGTGCATTCTTTCTTGTGCTAGGGAGATCTGTTATCTTTGTTAGTTTGATCCTCCTATTAGACAAAATGGTTTTTTTTTCTTCCTTTTAGGAGCCGTGCACTGATTCTGGTGAGTCCTAATCCTTCACTTGCCACAAAGCCTTCTGTAATTCCTTGGAGTGGGCTAATCTACATCCACTGTGATAATGGACAAAAAGTAAGTGGCTAGTAATGTTGCCAAAATCTTTTATATGTGGAGCACAAGTTCTGTAAACTTAATTCTCATTTAAAATCTCTCCCTCCACACCACAGATTTGTAAAGATGGTATTTCCAAAAAACAAAACAAAACAAAAAACAAAAACAAAAAACCACCACAAACAAACAACAACAACAAAAAAAAAAACCAAAGAAATGCACAGCAAACCCAAAGCAGCAAAACATGTTTTGAAAATTGAGAATCTTTATTTCTTTAGAGATTAAAGAAACACCATGATGTGAACAGTAGGACTGCATTGCCAATCAAAATTTTTTCAATATACTCACTATTTATATATCGTTTTCTAGAAATGCTGAATTTATGTTTCTTACATATATAATTATCTATATATCTCTGCTTTTTAATATATGTGTATATATTTGTTTATACAGACTACACATGTAGACAGTGTATGTATCTCTATGTATGTAAACCTTTAAGACAAAAGGAGTTAAAGCAGGTTGCTGGACAAGACTCTGGACGAGTTCACTTTGGACTCCCTTAAGGTGAACTTAACCTTCTGGCAGACAAGTCTGTAATAATGAATGTGTAGAATAGGTTCTTGCTTCTTATGCATTTTAATCCAAAATTTTGCCTTGATTCAATTAAGGCAATAATAAAATTCACAGAGCCAACAATTTTTCTGATTTTTTCAGTGTGAAAGTATGAAATCTCCTTGGTAATTTCCCCCAGAGAAATGCATATTGTCATTTTTTTTTTTTTTACAGCTGTTATGTATTTTGGATTAATTATAATGGTACACATAGAGAGAAATGAAAGACACTGAAAGGTTAAAACAGTCTATCTACTTACCTTCTAGATGGAGAAAGATTATATGAATAATACAGAATTGCAAACTGCCTTGGCAAGAGATCCTTTATCAGGGATTGCAGTGACAGGACAAAGGGTAGTAGCTTTAAACTGGGAGAGGTAGATTTAGATTAGATATTATGGCAAAGTTCTTCACTATAAGGGTGGTGGGTCACTGGAACAGGTTTCCCACAGAAGCTGTGGATGCCCTTGGAAATGTTCAGACCAGGTTGGATGGGGTGCTGTGCAGCCTGATCATAGTGGAACATGTCCTTGCCCACAACAGGGAGTTGGATCTGGGTAGGCTTAAATGTCTCTTCCAACCTGAGTTGTCCTACAATGAGGAGAACAAATGAAAAAAACAACCAAAACCACCAAGAAAAAACATGAGAAGCTGATAAAAGGAGTTTGTAGAGAAGGAAATTGGCGTTGTGTACATCTTTTACTGTGTTATGTTAATAAAATATTAAATAATATTGATTTAATTACTAAATAATAAAAAGTTGAAGAGAAGAAACCTAGTATGGCAGAAGTAGAGGGTGTGTCCAAACCAATCTAATTGTAAGATATCTGGTACTTGGTAATGCTTTTGCCATTTCTTTGCAATCTGTCTAGTAAGGCAGGAAGAATGGTAAGATTTCATATTTAATTTTTAGAAGCATTACTTGCACAGCCAAAAATGAACATAATCTTCACTCTGTTTCAGACAGTCCTAGTCCCTTTCTCTGCAAATAGAGAATATTCAAGCAATAGGCAATTAAATTCAATCGATCTAAATTGTTTCTCTTATTGAGGAACAATCCTCTGCTGATCTATTAATAAAAATATATTCCAAAACATTTCTTACAAAGCATAATTGTAAGAAAATACTATTTGTAATAACGAATAAATGAGAAATATTTGCAAAAGTTGGCAGCAGGGAGTGGGGTTTAGATTAAAAAGAACATCTTGAGTATTGAATTAAAACTTCTAGATAAGTGCTCAGTAAAATTTCCTTTTGTCCTGAATTAATTTTATCCTAAAATCTTAAAACATCAGGAACAAAAGCTAGAGATGGCCAACTGGCTTAAGGCTTTTTTTCTCTGTTGGGACGTGAGGCTGAACAATGTGCGTTCTTAGAGCTCGAGGGAATAGAGCTGAGTAATCTGACTTGTTGATGTAAGAACATTCACTATTTTAAGTCTTTCTCTCCAAATTGTGTAAAAGGTTATTAAAGTGCAGATTCGTGAGGCGCAGGATGTGTCTGGAACAAGCTCTCCATCTAGAAGACGTGATTTATTTACTGTACAATCTGCAAGTCCTACTGTTCACGTGGCAAAACCTCTCTCAGCACATCCTTTAACAAAAATGGAAATAAAGAGCAGATCGATTATTTTTCCTAGAACAAGAGCTGGTGAATGCACAGGTAATAATACTTAGTAACTGCAACATCTGAGAGATCTTCAGTGTTTTTGTTTTCTGTATGAATGTTTGGGAACTTGAATTCCTTGAAATTGTTGATTCCAGTTACCGTGTTTTGATTCATTGAACTGTTAGTCCTCGTGGTGGAAATCTTTTTTTCCTCCTTCATAGTAACACATTTTCCTGCAGATGGTTTGTATGCGGGCAGGTAAGTTGCCAATTTCTTAAATTATTGATGTATCCACTGAACTGTGCCTCTGTCAAAAGGACACTATTAACTGTGTTTTGTTGAACTTCTTTTGCATCAGTGTTATTGTGCAGTATACCCATTCGCATCTTGTATCCAAAGATGTTTATACAAATCTATCTACAGGTAGAAGGGAAATATTCTGCCTTAAGTCTCTAGGAATGCCAGCTCTGAAACTGGCTGTTCCTGTCTTGTACTTAATGATCCAGGAGCATGTTGTTGAAAATCCTCTGTCTGTACTTTTAATTACAGTAAATACTTCAAATTCTTTAGATTGCTGTATGAAACTGTCATTCTGTTATCTAGATACCAGATTTGTTAGTGTTTTGTACTCTTTTTCTAGGTATCTAGTATTTTTGTAGTGATTCACTGACCCTGCGCTTTCATTTAACTACCTCTAGAACTGCCAAGGCTTATTTTATTGATTATATATATATATATATATATATATATATATATATATATATATATATATTTTTTTTAACAATACTGTCAGTGTTCCTCCCTGGGCACCAAAAAAAATCTTGGAGAAGAGTTGGGTATCTTCCGGGATTTTTTTTTTTTTTTTTTTGGAGGGGGGATGTCTGTTTTTGTACACTAGAAAGTGAAGATAGCCTCCAAAAAATCTCGAGGCAATAAATTGAAATGTTGGAGTTAACTTAAATTTCTCTTTGCTAATTGTCATACACTGAATTTTCAAGGAGATAACTTCCTCCTACAGACAATACGACCACGTAATTGTCTTTATGCTTCTGGGCCTTTTGGAGGGTTCTCTTCTGTTCTTTTAGGCATATCGAATTCGGGTCTCACTTCTTGTAAGCATCTTCAGTATGATTCTTCACTGGAAGACTTGACTTCCAAATTTATTTGTAAAAACTTGCAAGGAATTTCTGATAGTGTGCTTTATTTGAGTCTGCTCCTGAAGTTTCAAATCTACTTGACATCGTAAGAACCACTGCTAGTAATCTTCACTATATCTAGAAATAAAGGGCTTTCTTTCTAAACAAACTGCCTGTTTTGAATTCATTCAACTAAAGGTATTTGAACAAATTTATTTACATGTGATATTTCTCTTGCAGAGAGTTACCTGGAAATGGAGAATAAGGGGGATGAAAATGTCAGGTGGAACTTATCATCATTTACTCCACCCTATGTTAAAGTGAGTGAATGCTTGCATTGAGAGTGTTTTATGCAAATTCCCTGTTGTGTTTTTTTGCTTGTTCTCTCTTTCTCCCTCTAGCCTCTTGAGAAAGTATGCCTTTTTGAGCCTGAACTTAGTTGGTTTCTTTACCATCGCTCTGACTCTGTCCATATAAAGGAAAACTTTCCCTTTTTTTTCCTCTAGTATACCTCTGGCTGGGAATCAGTGCTCTGTGAGCCTATTTCTGGTTCACTTAGTAGCTTATGGTGCTTGCTTTTGCTCATTCAGTGTTGTATTCTGGATTGCACTAGTTGTCAAACATACATGAAAGATGTGTTTGTTTCTGATCCAGAATGCCAGTCTAACTTGCCCTGTTACGAGACACATGCTTCTAGAATTCTGCTCTGCATTATACCTCTGTAGGTAATTTAAAGTTAGGGAAAGGATATCTGAACTACACTACTGCTGATTTTGCAGTTACTGTAGTAGCTGTAACTAGTATTTGTAAATAGTCTCCTATTTCTTGATAGCTGAATGCTGCGATGCTCATTGGATTCTGTGCTAGAATTAGTATGGGTTATGAAATGATGAAAAAAATTTCATACTCCAGAAATCCTGTAAATGTGGCCTTGACTGTGAAGACAGAGTATGTAGTGTTCCAGTTAGTATACCACGTCTAAACTGGAAGTCAGTAGTTGTGATGACTGCATACATGCTGTAGTAGCTTCAAGTCTTTGTTGTTTGCTTTTAGGGATTGAATATTATTTGCTTATTTGAAAATAGCTTTATTGGGTGCATTTTTCAGTCTTATGTAAGTGTGGAGAGGCAGGGGGCAGGGAGGGCAGCATGTGTTCTAATCCCTCCTGAATCTGGTGCCTAACTTCATTTGCAGGCCATGGATGGAACTGGTTCTGTTTATAGAGCTACTTACTCTGCTTTCAGATGTTACCATGTTTCTGGTACACTTGAAGCTCATGGAAAAGAGAAGGTAAGCTGACGTTTCAAGCATATTAATTTATCTTAATTGTAAAACAGTACCCTGCATGATAAATTTTCTGAAATAACAGTTGAATTATTGAAGCTGGTTTTCATTATATCTATTTGTATTAAGTGGTCCATATCTACTTGCCACAGGTGTTATAATGTCAGCTGAGTTGATTTTAAGATATCATGCAATCTATAGGTTTACTTTGTTTTGTTGTTTTAGAAGATACTCTGTTCTAGAACAGAAGATTGTTTTAAAATGCTTTATAAAAATCCACAAGATTATTAGAAATTGTACTGTGTTTTTGCAAAACTGGTGTGAGAACTAGCTCCTGTTTATGTCAGAATTCTTGAGGAACAACTGTTTGGTCCTAAAGTTGATTTCATTTAACTTACAATTTTACTTTCTGGCCAGTAGAGGGTTTCATAACCACAGTTATCAACATCCAAGGATGTACTGAATAGGATTCTGTGAGGCAGAACCCTTTTTACCAAGAACCCTTTTTACCAGAACCTTTTCATTTGCAGGCAAAGGAGGATGAACGATAATGTTTTCTGCAAGATTGTGTGTGTGGAATGCATGCATCGATTTCTGTAGTGTATAAATAATTGTGCTGGCTTTAATGAAACTTTGTACAAGTAAAGTTACGGAGTTTTATAAATTATTTTGAACTTTTGCAAATTTTTCTTGTTTTTTGTAGGTTTCTCTAATATTTTTACCTAGAGAAAGTGGAGATTATTCTCAGTTCTGGGACCTTGAGTGTCACCCTGTTGAAAAACCTAGTTGGAAACACAAATTAAGGTTTCAGCTTTCTGGAACAGTGAGTATATAAATGCTATAAACTCTATCCTGTTATTTCATAACATCTTAATGTCACTATACTGTATTATTGCTGATATGCCTCAATGATATTATGAAAGAAGATACAGCCTGAACTGTACTGTTTTTCTTATATTACAAAAATGAGTTTTTAGTCTTGCTTATGTGATAATGCATTATCTTTTGTCATTTAACATGTAAAATTTTGCTTTCTGCTCACAGACTGTAGAGAAACTCCTGTGGGAATAATTTCTGTAGGGGCAGATTTGTTTATATCACATGCTAAATGCATTGCGTTTATTTCTGTAAATAAGCAGTAAAGCTATTGACCTTTGATCCAGTATGTAGCTCAGTTTTTAGTTTGCTTACTGCCTGCTTTGGAGATATGGATATATTTCTGATGAAATCAATTTGAGCATTTTATCACAGTTCAGCATAGGTATGGGTAATTATTTAGATTTATACATTGGAACAATTAAATCAGAGCTCTTTTCATGCTCCTGAGCTCTGATTTTATGGTGAGGCCTAGAGAAATGGGTTTGGGAATTGAGAGCACAGAAAATCAGTTCTTAGCTCACTTCTAGTCACTACCTCACCATCCATCCATCTAAAGTGAGTCTGCATAGGACACAATCTATTTTAAAATATTTAAGATAAGTAAATTCTAATACTTACTTAGATGAGCTGAATGTGAAGAACTTTGATATTCTGTAATTGCTACATATAGGAGCCTTACTTTACCCTTCTTGGCAAGATACCTTTTACTTTGTAGGATCTTTTTTCTTCCCAGTAGTTAATTACGTTGAGAATAGGGCTTGTTAATAATATAAATGTTAAATGATTTCTAATTTTGTCTGGAAGAATGAGACTTGTACAGTGTTTGTTCGGAGATTTTTTTTTTAAGCTTTCGTCAAATACTTTGAACGTGATTTCCCATAAAGCGAGGAAAACGTCTGTCAGTTGACTGTTTCAAGCTTGAGAAAAGATGAATTCTTTATTAGAAGTCTAGAGTTCTGAATAATTCTCTTCCGAGGACATGAATAGTTGTCAGAGTTGTGTAAATCTTTGAGCTGCATGACTCGACATCAATGTTTTTGATCTAGCATGTCAGATTTGTTTCTCTTTCCTCTTGATTCTACTTAAAGCTGTTAACTATTAGATCTTTCCAGCATTTCCTTATACTTCTAGGAATAAAGCATTACAGAAAATACTTGAAATATCTTGAGGTCATTTTTGATAAACAGTAGAAAATCTTTTTGTATCAACTAGATAAGGAAACTAGTTATCATTTTGCAATAGGAGTCAACACAGAACATTTACTTAGACTCTTGCAGCTTTTTAATACGGCCTGCTTTTAGAGAAGACAAGTCAGTTATTGCCTATTACGTCCTAGGAACCAAGAGTGTATACTACATTACTACAGCTTTGGGAGGACTTATATCCTGTAGGCTTGCCCTAGGTGGGGTACTGCTGTGATTTTTTGATAAAATGAAATAGGAAGACTGACTGTCATTCACAATGATGGAGTGGTATATATTTATAGCACCGCTTCAATAGAATTGGAAGGAGGTGTGAACGACGTCAGGAAAGAACTAGAACAAGGTGAAGTTAGGAAAATCAATGGTACTTAACATTTTCTTTTTTTTTTCCTAGGAAGTCAGTTAGCTGTAACTGTGATGCTCTGTTTGCATTTGCAGTTCCCACCATTAGAAACCATAGACTCCAACTCAGAAGAACTGGTTTCCACATCTGATCCTAGGGACAGAGAGAGGAAGGACTCAAATGCCCCTTGCAGTCTCTTCCTGTCAATACTGACAATGCAAATTTAGTTTTTCCTCTTTCTGATGAACATTTGCTATGAGGAACTGGCCAAAGATCAATGGGCAAAAAGGAATGCCACCATTGTGCACAAATACTTTGGAATAGCGTTTAGGTTTAGGTATTGATTTCTTCTTGTTGAAGCAGTCAATCAGCAAGAACCTGTCAGAGGGCTGAGGCAGGACCTAGGTTATGGTGGCTTCTTCAGTGTGTAGAAAGTTGAGGACTGCATAAAGAATTCCAGTGTTGGTTGACAATACTACAAATGATAGACGTGATTTTTTTTTTAATGTGATCTGTGTACTTTAGCTGTTGTGTTAAGTGACTTTTTAGTGTGTTATTTTGCAAGAGGCAAAGTGAACAAATTGAGCTCAATTTTTGAATGGTTAATACAGAACATTTTACTAAAGGTTCTGATTTGATTTTTATTGTTATTAGCAATATGGAACCTTCATCTTATTTGGATATTCCAGGAGTAATAGGGGAAACCCCCCCCCTTTTTTTTTTTTTTAAGCTCAGTGAGCAAAATCTAATTTCACACTAAATGTGCATTAAAAAAAAGCATATGCTTTTGAAGTTACTTCAGGATCAAGAGAACCATATGGTGAATGTTTAACATACTAATTTCATTTGAAACGGGAGAAATTAGTAAGGTGTCAAATAAAGCAATACTTGAAGATACTTTTGTAAAGATCAGGGAAGACAGAACTTGTGATTATTTTCCATTATGGGTATTATTCTTATGCAGTGAACTTGCCCTGTTGATCCAGTAGGATTTGAATGATAACACTGAAGCACGATACCCATCATTTTTTCCTACATGGAAAACTAAAAGCTCTTGAAACAACATATATGCAGGCTTTTTTTATCTTTAGGTACAGGGTTCTACTGTGGTTCATGGATTATTTGCAGCTGAAGAATATTCTTAAAATTAAGATTTTTTGTTGACTGTTGCTATTTCTGGCAGACTGACTCGCAGCTCTTTCAAGTAGAGAAATCAATGTCTGAAAGACAAGTTTGTCATAGCAGCTCTATTGAAGAGAAAATTATTTTTTAAATCTTCCCTGCATAAGGAAATCGACTGCTTGTCTAAAACATCAGTGCTATTTGGGAAAAAAAAGACTATGTTCTATGACCATACATGTGGGGAGGTTCTTTAGTTCTTTGTCTCTTTGTCAAGATGTTGTAACCCAAGGGGCTCCAGACAGTAGCTGGCTAGATTCATCAGACAGTGGAGAATTTTGAATTGGCTGTTTGGCAAAATATTCCCTTTGGGTGGTCTGGTTTTGTTGTGTTAGATAGTACATTGAATAGAGGTTGTGACAGAGGTAAATATTTTTGTCCTAATTTCTAAGTGTGACAGTTACTATTTAGTTCATTATCAGATTCTTTTTCTCTGGAGTGATGCCCCTTTGGGACTGATGTATCCTTCATAATGCAGAAGTATTATGAGGCTTTGTGCTTTGGTGGGAATTTAACCTACAGTGATAACTGATGTCTTCCTCTGTGACCAGTTGTTTTGCTGACTTTGCTGTTCTTGAGGCACATGGGCCTCAAGAATGTCTGCAGAGAAATTTCTTGCAGCCTTTATGAGATTCCGCCTGTACTGCACTACTAGTGTTCTGTGAACTGCATTTTAACAAGTAAAGACAAAACGTGGTACATAAAACACAAAAGCTTGGTCCTCCCAAGCTGCTGCTCATCTGTTACTGTTCTGAAATACTATACTTCAAAAAAAAAAAAAAAAAGTCTTACTCCCTTCCCTTGTCTAAGGAAAATGACTTCAGTACTTGGGACCTTTTCAATACAAAATTTAAAGGCTTCCTTATCTTTGTCAATAGGGTACCAAAGCAGAAAATACAGCTGCAGTTGGAAGGGCTTCTGCAGAAACCCTCATAGAAGCTGGAAGCCCAGTTACACCTAAAAGGAAGGTTTGCTCTGAGGCTTGTACAACTAAAGCAGGGTATGTATGGGCAAGAACTGAAATGAGATACTGCTAATGGTTGGAAGGTCCAAAAACACAACCAAACCTTTTTGCTGTTACAATAGCTGTGTGGTAGAACAGGCTGCCCAGAGAGGCTCTGCTGTCTGCCGTTAGAGATTTCTGGGACCTAACAGGACAAAGCCCTGTGAAATGCCTTATCTGAGCCCATAACCAATACTCTTGGTACAAGGGGTGTTGAACGTGAGACATCCTGACTCTCTTCCAATCTTAGTTATCCTATATGAGCAAATAGCTGCAGAAACATACTTGACCAAACCTTGTGTTGCACTGCATTGTTCAGTTTCACATTCTTTTCATTTAAGTTTCTAAGTTGCCTAATCATAATTTGCTGTTGTGAAAACTAGTATCAGCAGCAGAATTGTTTACTGGCCCATTTTGGTGGTTTTACAAAATGTTCAAGTTCATTCTAAGAGTGTGGTGTACTGCATGTCTTAACATTGCCATTTTTCTCTAAAATTGATCCACAATTCTTATACTATGGGATGATATGAGTATGGCAGGAGAGTAAAATGTTTTGGTTAAATGTGGAATCCCTGAAAAGAGACTAGCTGTCTAGTAAAGCATATGGAGGGAAAATTCAGATTGTAAAAGCATGTGTAAGTAAGCTCACGTATTTACGTTGCAGTGATGCTTTCCTTAGACTCTCGGTGGCTAAAATGTATAACCTATGACACATAAGTGAGAGTGTCGATGCCTTCAAGATCTTTCAATTTTTCCTTGTTTATTCTCTTAAGAAAATACGAACATCTTGAAGTATGTAATCAATACATCCAGACCATATAAGTAAAATCTTACCATCTTAACTCCCTTTTCCTTATCAGACTGAATGAGGTAACTCGTGGGGTGTATGCACCAGAAGACCTGTACACTTTTCTTCCAACTAGAATTGGGGAATCACGCACGTTAAAAGTCAACTTGCGAAATAATTCATTTAGAACGCATTTGGTAAGTCTGGTGGGGTTTCTTCTAAATGCATATTTTTGTAAATCCTCCTAGCTGTTCAATGTTCTACGTAGGCTTATTTTTATTCTTTAGTTTTTACTCTGGGCATAAGATGGCAATAGTTCAAGTCTTGTGTTGCTAGTTTCAAAAGACAGTATTATACTTGAAAAAAATTTGCTCTCCTCTGTAATTTTTCTCTTTTCTTGACTGAGTCAGTGAGGGTATTTGTAAGCTATGCAGTAGTTTTAAAAAGGTGATAGATTTCTTGTTATCTTTATTTTTTTAACTTCATTTAAAATATCCTGAGATTTCAGTTCTTCTCAAATGCACCAATGTGGGCATGTTTCATTTTTAAACACTGGGTCTGTCTAATGCTGTATTTGTAAATTACCTTGTTTAGCTTAACCATGTTGTAGAGTGAATATAATAGGCTTTAGATACAGTGGGTCTTTAAGCATTTTGTATTAAATTGCAGCTGAAATTTTTGAGTCCCAATGAGCCTTTCTACATCAAACATTCAAAATACTCTCTAAGGTAAGTAACTCTTGTGCTAACATTCTTGCCTAACAACAATGAAAAAAATTTAATTCAGTAAGATAAATATCTTCTCAATGTACAGTGCTAAAATGTAGGTATAAAGACCTAGCATTCTAGCTGTCTAGTTAAATATGTGAGGTTTTTTTTGCTAATACTGTGCTCTGTAATCTTGGTTAGGAACAGAATGATCCCACGCAGTTACTTCTGCATCTGCCAATTTCTTCACTGCAAACAGTGCTGCTGCTTTTCGTGCTAAACCTAATGCTTCATTTAGCCATTTGGCCTGCTGTGCACAATCAAGTCATTCCTTCCATTTATACTTTGTACACAACAGACCAAATTGCCTTCATCATGCTTCTAATTTGACAAACCTGCAGAGCTGCATGAAAGATTCTCTGCAAACGTAGGTTTGAGCAGCCAGTGGAATTGCTCGGTCTTACCAAGAAGTTCAGCATATTACTTGCATAAAAGGAATTTTCAAGTTGGTGATAAAAGCCCTTCAAAATAAACCCAGCCATCCTGAGAGTTGATTAGTGCAGGTATTTGACAGTCCTGTTAGTCATCTCATAAAGCGATATAGCATCAAACATGCTCATCTATAACAGCAGGAGTGTCATGAAGATAAAATTGCAACCATTTCATTAGAAGTCATACAACATACGTTTTCTCAGTATTTAGATATTTCTCCATTTTAAAGATGAGGAAACTAAGTATATGCAGAGTAGAAGTTGTGTGTAAGGTCAGAAATAGGACTGGATACTCTGTTTCTTCTCTTCCAGTGATATGTCACAGCCCCATCTTTGTAATAGATGTTATGTTACTAACCACAGTATTCAAGGTATTTTGAAGCCAGTTTCTAGTAAGAAGTGTTGTAACTCCACTGAGACATTTTTTAGTGCCTCTACTTCACTTGCATTTTTTTAAATTGGAGTTGCCACTAAAGAGTTTATTGCCAAAGTAGTGAACAAGATACAAATCTACCCAAATAAAAACAACTTGCTAGATCTGTCTGAGGCTGTACAGCCTTAGGCAAAGGACAGTCATGTATTGACAGTCCATGAAAAAAGGTGAGTAACTTAATTGGAAGATACATGTTTCAAAAATACTCTTTAGTGTGTTGAACCTTATCCTGGTCATCGGAAATGTACTGACTGCTGCAAAGCAAACTGAGCAGTGCCTGATTAATTCTGCTTTTCTAAAAGACAGTGTATAGCACCAACTAAATGGACACTTCAATTCTGTGGTCAGATTAAACTGAATATAGTTGCCATATGCCATTACTGAGGTCATATAGTAACTGTTTTGGAAATCAGTCTTTGAAAGTTGGATGTGGACTTCTCTTGAAGAGTGATACGGGACTTACCATTGCTTTGATAGTGTGAGCTTGAGTTTGGTTGTATTCTTTTTGACTATGTGATAGGATATGTAAGGAAGCATCCGTATATCGCTCTGAAGATACAGATTTGTGCACACCTGACTTTCTCTTAAATTTATTCTTTTGTGAAGTCTTCAGCAGACTGAGTCTTGAGATTCAGTTTCAATACTTACTACCTTTTTTGTTTTCTAATACAATGCATCTGTTACAAATGAAATGGTCATACTGACGTTCTTCTCTATCTAGTATCTAATATATAGTAGCAACAAAATAATAAAAAGTAGAGGAAATGAACACATTCTAAAAGATGCTGGATAGCACTAAATGCTGCCAAAGGCAGAGAACTAGAGTTATCATAAAATTTAAGAAAGAAACAAATCCTTTTTTCTTAGTGAGTTTTGCTATTTGTTTTTCCTTATTCTAACGTGTGCCCGTTACTTCTACTTCTTTGTTAGTACTGAATATTTCCATCAGATGCCATGGCTAATAGATTTCTGCTCAGCATTTCCAGCCTTTTTGCTTGTATAGCTTGTATTTTTTACTTTAACATGTTCACTCTAGGCTTTTGACAATTAAGACAGCCACCCTTTATAGCCTACCTACAGCTGAATTTTACTATTTGGCATGTTTTTATGCAATCTGAATAGAAGTAAGTAAGTAACCAAAAAAGATGTGTTGCAACAGTTTGAAAATACTGGTTGAGGATTGATGTATTGGCTTGTGGTGATTCAGTGAAATATTATTTATTCACGTAGAGGCAATTAAAAATAATTGAAAATATTTTACCAGCTTTAAATTGATTGAGAATTGTACATTTTGGTATGCTCATCAACGGACTTGTGAAAACATGTAGTAACTTTGCTGTAAATGTAATAGATGCGCAGTCAGTATTATTGTGAAGAGGCAGAACAAACCTATCTAGATAAACTAGCAGCAATAAAATATTTCAATACCTGTGGAAAAGAATCACCTTTAGAATCTTCCTTCAGAAGAGTAATAATCAAAACTGTAAAAATAAACTTGATCTAGTACACATCAAATGTATAGTTGTGGTGATAATAAGGATTAGAACTTCAATATCTGGTACAGTTTGCTTGGTTGTTGATCATGAATATGCACAATTGTCTCCTTGCAGATCCCATCATTACATCAATGTGCCAGTCCAGTTCAAGCCACAAGCAGAAGGCATATTTGAAGGTCTCTTGGCCGTGCACACGACCAAATATGGCTGTATTAACATTCGACTCTGTGGTAAAGCTATTGCAAAAGAATAGTCTGAACAGCTTACAATTGTTTAGGACGGTTTAAGCCATTTAAACTATTCAAGGATTTGCTACTACATTTCCATACTAACCTTTTACTTGTTTTGCCCTGTGATGCTGCTCTGATGGAAAGTCATCTTTAAGATGAATTATGGCGCTTGTTTTTCAAGTGCTTTTTCATAGTAAAAACACTGAGAAATAATATTCTGTGTTTTTAAAGTTATCGTGTTCTAACTTATGTTTCTGCACTTTTGTTGAAAAGGGAGGTTTCTATTTTTGCATTTATTAGGAAGATATAATGTATTTTATTTTCAACATTGTAAATACAGAAATAAAGTATGCATTAACTGTTGATTCTCATTTCTGTCTTTGGTGGTTAGACGGTTCCTTGCTGTACGTGAAGGATTAAGCTTCCTACTCCTAAGCAATGCTTAGTTATTTTGGGTTTAGGGGTTTTGAGGGGATGGGATTGCAGTACAGAAGCTGACCTGCTACATATTGTGTCTTCATCTGGTAAAGCTTGTACAGTCAGTTCAGTGGTAGGCTTAAGCATTACTTTTTTTTCCTAGCAATGTGAAAACACTGTCAATTCAACATGAGCAATATTGCTTTCAGCACTCAAAAATGATTCTTCTAGGCTGGTATTCTGCCTTTAACAATGGCAAAAAGATGGTTGTTCTTGGAGATCGCAAAAGCCTGATCTGCTGCCTTTGGTTTCTTTTCCTTGCGCTTTCCCAGATCTCCGGAGTTATTACAATGGGGACAGGATGCAGAGATTCCCACCTATCCCTTTTTTCCATTTATGGACCTGTTTATGAATTTATCTGTATGCCTCTTTGAGCCTTTTGATACCCTGTGTTCACAACTTTGTGTGGCAGCAAGCACCAGATGTTCACTGTCTGCTCTTTCAAGAGAAGTTTTTCCCCTATGTGCTAAGTGGATTTCTTTAAAATTTTGTTGAGTGCTCTCCAGTTCTTACATTGTAGGATTCAGTGAACAGCAGTTCTGCAGTCAAGTTACCCATTGCTTCCATGCTCTCTGCACCCTTTGGCTGTTGGCTCTTTCACTTCTGTATCATGTGTTATATCTGAAGTTGCCATAAGCTAGAAATGTAACTTTGATAGCCTTGTTCTCTTTGGTTACATACATTATTCCTTTCTTCAGGTTGGTAAAAGTAGGAGTGAAAATACAGTTTCATGTTGAAAGTAATTTAACTTTCAAATAAGTCAAATTTGAAGATAACTGGGTGGAAGAACCTTGAATTGTCTGATGTTTCACCACAGTCATTATAAAGTATACTGAAGTATCCTGTAGGTGCTTTTTCTTTGTTAAAACCTAGTTTCTCAGCAGACTGAACACCAGAAGGGGAAGATTTGCTAGAAGAAATTTAAGCTAGACATCAGAAGTCTTGCTCCCTGTGTATTCTTCCATCAGCGGGATCATAGAATGGCTTAGGTTGGAGGGGGGACCTTGAACATCATCTAGTTTCACTCCCCCTGCTATGGGCAGTGTTGTCAGCTCCTAGATTAAACTGCCCTGGGCCCCATCCAACCTGGCCTTGAATGGCTCCAGGGATGAGGCATCCACAGCCTCTCTGGGCAAACTGTTCCAGCACTTCATTGCCCTCGGAGTAAAAAATATCTTCCTAACATCTAACCTACATCTACCCTTTTTAAGTTAAAAGCCATTCTCCCTTGTCCTATAAATGCGTATAAGCACCTATGTAGATAATACGTACTGTGACCAACTTCTCCCTGCTAACACATTTCCCTACCTGTTGTGTACTCAGAATACTGAATTGGAATGGGGATGGATGTACTGCTGTCTGTTGTCTTTCCTCTTTCCTGGCTTCTTTATTTGTGAGAGACTTTGGTGTTCAAAAACATAGATTGGTTTGGTTTTAGGGTCGTAATCAGAAGTCTCCTCCTTTTAGAGATGAAAAGAAGACATACACTAATCTCAGTGTATGTATATCTTCATAACCTTTGCATTTCACAGCTGAATATCTTCCAGCTGCCCTCTGTTTTAGCATTATCCTTACTTTATGGCTTCAACCTGTGGAAATGGGCAACCTTCAGAATCATCTGAGGCTGTATCCTGAAGAGTGGTTAAAATCTTTCCTTGGGTAAGTCATTGAATTTTCAAATCACTTAATTTAGCACTTTGTCACTGATGAGAGTTTTTCATTATTTTTAACAAGGCTTACAGTGTAGAATTGGTACTTTAAAGCACGTAACTAATTTTTTTTCATGTTCCACTGAACAACTAGTTTTGATAAAGAGACAGAATTTACTCAACTGGCTGCCTTCTCAGATTAATTTAGAACCATAGAATTGCTCATGTTGGAAAAGACCTTAAAGGTCATCGAGTCCAACCATGGCCTAACCATACTACCCTAACTAACAACCCTCTGCTAAATCATGTCCCTGAGTACCACAAGCAAAAGGATTTTAAACATATCCAGGGATGGGACTCAACCACCTCCTGGAGGAGCCTATTCCAGTGCTTAACAGCCCTTTCTGTGACGAAGTTGTTCCTGATATCCAACCTGAACTTACCCTGGTGCAACTTGAGGCCATTTCCCCTCGTCCTGTCACCAGTGAGAAGAGACCAACCCCGCTCTTGCTTTAAGCACCTTTCAGATATTTGAAGAGAGCAATAAGGTCTCTGCTTGGCCTCCTTTTCCCCAGACTGAACAGCCCCAGTTCCTTCAGTCTCTCCTCATAGGGCACATTCTCCAAGCCCTTCACCAGCCTTGTTGCCCTTCTTTGGACCTGCTCCAGCACCTCAATGTCCTTTCTGTATTGAGGTGCCCAAAACTTAACGCAGTACTCAAGGTGAGGCCTCACCAGTGCTGAGTACAGGGGCAGGATGACTTCCCTAGTCCTGCTCACCACACCATTCCTGATACAAGCCAGGCTGCCATCAGCCTTCTTGGCCACCTGGGCACACCGCTGGCTTGTATTCAGCTGGCTGTCCATCAGTACACCAAGGTCCCTTTCCATCAGGCTGCTTTCCAACCACTTCTCCCCAAGCCTTTAGGTTTGCCTGAGGTGGTTGTGACCGAAATGAAGGACTGACACTTGGCCCTATTGAAACTCATACAGTTTACCTTGGCCATTGATCTAGTCTATCTGGGTCCCTCTGTAGTGCCTTTCTTCCCGCTGGCAGATCAACACTCCCTCCCTGCTTGATATTGTCTGCAAACTTACTGAAGGTGCACTTAATTTAGTAAAGTCCATAAATGACTTTGTGTTGTTTCTCACAAAAAAAATTGATATCAACGCTAGTGCCGATTTCAGATGCTTCTAGAGTTCTAACAAGGTCTACTGACCCGAAGATAGCCTTTGAAGTCACTCTTATCTGTAACCATTTAGCTTAGTGAGCAATTCCTGTAGGCAAAAGTAAGGTTTTGTCATTATTCATACAAGACAGTATTAGTCTGGCTGCACGAGAACTCAGGACTTACCTAGTACTGAGCTGCATTTGACTTGTTTTGACACATGTCCCATTGTCAAGTGACTATTGTCCAACCTCTGTAAGCTTAGCCTCTATAAATACCTGTACAGCAACACAAACTGGCTGCTCTGAAGTAGTCAAACAAGTGAAAGCTATTAGTCATTTGGCCCAGAGGAGGCAATTGACCAACTTTCAGATGTATACTTCAAGAAGAAAGGCAGAACCGACATCGTGCTCCTTAGTGCAAAGGGTTGCTCTATGCCATGAGAATATTCCCAGTGAAGACCTTAGGGTGCTTACAGCATCTAAACCTCATTTACTGATGTAGAAAAATTGTGACCAATGACTCAAAGCCTGCAAATCAATTCTGAGTCTAAGCTACAACAGTTATAGTTAAAGAATGAGAATTAGCTTTGTACATAATTCTTGTCTCTTGTTTTTGTCACTGTTTGCTTTGAAATTTCTTTCAGTTGTTTTTCATGTTGGATGCAGTCCTTGGTCTCAGACTGGGAAGATTGGCTCAAACACACCAAGCAAGCAAATTTTTTAGAAGGAACTCCTTTTAATTATAGTAATCTTAACATGTTGATTTTAATATCAATCAGAGAATTCAGAAATTGTTATTTGAAATTCATTAAGTGCCTAACACTCAGGATATCTTTGTACCTGCTCAGCCTAATTGGGATATTAGTAATCATAATTATTCAACAGCTTTGTGAAGTTTTCACATCATTGACTATAAATGGAGCTATAATACATTCTGCACACGTGCTTCAGTGTGTTTTGGAGATTGTTGCCCTGGCATCTGAAACTAATTAGTGTTCAGAAAACCTAGTAAAGGTGCATATCAAGGCCTGAATGTCTGGAAAGTTATTTTGATTACATAAAAGGTTAAAATGGTAAATTTTTAAGGGATTTTTTATGCATAAAGTAGGCTTTTGAAGACAGTGGTGGCTTTTTGAGTAGTGCCTTAGGGCATTTCTGTGATAAGAATGCCTGTTAAGGGTAATGCTGGTATATTCTTGCCCATAGGGTTTGTGGGAGAATTGAGGGGCTGTAGAGCTATCAGAGATTACTACAAAATTGACAGGTAACATATCTTACGTATGTGAAGTATACAAGATTTTCACATTATGGCATCTTTGGAAATGAAAAAAAGCACTATGGGATCAAAAGTCCTTAGAAGCTAATGAAAGAATGGGCATTTGACATAAAAACAGTTGTCCCTGGATCTGTAATTGAGCGTTCTTCTATTCACAGCCATCTTGTTTTAACATTTATTTATCTTATTTATTTATTTATTATACAAAGCTAGGTAATAAAAGTTCATGCCTTACTACTTTCATTTTATAACATAGGTGAAGAATGTGCATGTCCTACAATCAGTAAAAAGGACATAAAATGTGAGAAGAATGCATCTGTCTGCAGTGATGCCTCATAATCAGCAAGAAAGTTGGTCTGTTAACAACCGTGAAGCAGCAATGTTTGCACTGTGCCAAATTTCTCTCCAAATCTACCAGTTAAAAGATTGATTCTATTTCCTCATTTGGAAATTTGAGCTGACATTAGCAGCAAAAGAGAAGTTTTTTTTCAATGTACTTGTTAACATAAATGAGTTTTTTCTTTACAGTTTTGTATTTGTTCATTGATGCATCATCTCACATGGAATGTGCGTCACCGGTTACTAGACAGGTAACAAAGTACAAAAACAGGTATTGCAAGCTAAACTATGCAGAGCTAAAAAGGTTTTCTTTACATAAATGTCATGCATTTAAATAAAGTGTTCCTTAAACTTTGTAAAAGTAACTGTAAAGTTGTGCTGAACTTAAAGTAACAGCACAAACACCTCACAACATATGCAAGTTAATGTAGAAACAGT